AGATGTCAACTAAACGAGTCGGCTGCATGTCTGAATGCGAACACTGACCGCTTATCTGTAAAAGTCACACTAACAATTATACTGGGTCGGACCTGGTAAGCATAACTTCCAACATGGCACAAGTGTGCTCCACATGTGTATCGCCAAAGACAGAAAGTTGTGCACATTTACACGTGAACAAGAGAGAGCATGGAGAGCAGATCACTCCGTATCAGAATCAAAAAAGTCACACTGTGTAGAGCTACATGTCTTCACATCAGAGACGTGAGCTGTCACACACAGAATGTCAGTTTAGTTTACAGCTGTTTAGGACTATTTCTTCATAGTTTATTACAAACCTGCAGCATCAGACAGCGGTAGGATCCTCAACTGGCTCCAAAGAGATATACATGCTCACATTTATGCACGGCGCAACAGTAGCAACTTAGGTAATTAGGTAAGAATTAAATGATTCCGACATGGAGAAAAGGCTGATCACGATCCAACAGCAGATGTGATCTTTTCTCTACCTCAGACAGATGAACTATAGCACAGAGTCAGAGTTTATCAGCTGCAGTTTAATGTTTTGTCACATCGCAGTAGTCCTCAGGTTGATGCCTGAGCTTTCACGTTTCACTGTTTAGGACATCAGAGATAAACTGGGATGTCAGTGATTTGGACACTTTTATTTGCTGCTATTATTTTAGTCTGTTGTTGCATTATCATGCATTATACATCAGTTGGTGTATTCACTAGTCTCGTGTGAATGACAAATATCGTGAGCAGGCCGCAGACCTCTCTGGCACCGTGGTGGGTACGTCTGAATGCAATCATTAGGAACCGTAATGGAAAAGTGACCTACGTGTAAAAGGAGCTTGAATGAAAGAATGTCTTCACTTTAACAGATTGATGAAGCCAGCAATGATGATCCATGACCTGTCTCTGAAAGGGGCTTCAGAAGAAAAAGTTTGAGCTGACAGAGAGATGTGCTGCAGCAGATAAAGACTGAGGTAGCAGAAAGACTGTGCTGCTCTAATTTGGCCTGATGTCCAGTGGGTGGAGCAACAAATGAGAGGATGTTGATATTCCACACAGGAAGGCCGACAAGCAAAAACTCTACAGGACAGACACAGGCCACATATTGTAGAACCAAAGAAAAGGGGTTGGTGATTTGTCAATTGAAAAATATCAACAAAAAAAATGCAATCATTCACTATCAGACATCATTCAAAGGGGAACATGAATGTTTTAACCAAATGTTGTGCCACCAGGCTCTTTTACAGTAGACAATGAGACTTGTCATAGCCATGAGCAAGTGAATAGCAGGACCCACAATGATTTAATTTACAGTATTGGATTTTTGGGGCTGATGCAGACACTTCCTGTGCTGTTACTTCCTCCAGTTTTATGAAGTAGAAAACTCTGCTATCGTGTAACAAAAAATAGATTTGTGTGGCGGCGATTTTGAAGATATTTCAAGATGTTTTCTGTGACAGATACAGACCTACATAACAAGTATCTTAGTGAGGTGTTGGTCACCATATGCCACCAGAACAGCTTCAGTGCTCCTTGGAGGTGATTCCCTAAGCCTCTGGAGCTCCATTAACGGAACACCCCTCTTCCAGAAGATATTCATTCATTTTTGATGCTGGTGGTGGAGAGCTGTCTGACATGTCGGTCCAAAATCTCCCATAGGTGGTCATTTTGGTTGGGATCTGGTGAGTATGAAGGTCATAGCATATGATTCACATCTTTCTTATCCTCATAAAACAATTCAGTAACCCCTTGTGCACTATGAATAGGGTCAAAATCCTCAGAGAAGAGTGCACACCTGCAAGGATAGAAATATTTTATCATAGGCTAAAGGTGAGCAGCATTATCTATCACCACGAACAACTTTGTACTGATTTGCAATGAGCCTTAACTCTAAGGGGACAGGTAAACCCAAACCATGGCATCAGTTCTCACTATTTTCTACATCTCTATAAACCGATGCATATGGTTTTGACACCACTGAACAGTCAAATGTGTGTTCATGTTTGTAATGCACAGCAGCTCTACTAAAATGTCCCTCTGTTGATGAATACAAACTGCTCTTGCTGACAGTCAAGAAACTCCTGCCACCCATTCCCTACTAATGAACCCTCTTTCGAAGTCGCTTAGATCTCTAGATTTCCTCTGCTATACTGACACAAAATCACAATCAACTGTGCCTGCTCAGCATTACGCTACATAAAACAAAGCATGAATGGATGTTTATTGCTTAGCTGTACTATGAGATGCACTTGTGGGGAAACACCTGCATTCATTTTATTTCTCCAGTCATTCCTCTAAAGAGATCAGTTATCATATCTGAACCAAGAGCACATGGCACTCGTTCTTCCTTTTGTCTTAAGAAATTTTTCCGTGGCAACCACACACAGAAGTCATCCTTCAGGTTGCAGCCTGGTGCCTGTCACTGTATGTGTGGGCATGTGTTTGCAAGTGAGAAGGATGGATGCTGTTCTCAACACTCATGGCAAAGAAATCATACTGAACTAGCTTAAAAGGAGGGCAAGAGAATGTGGTAGAACTAAAGAGAACAGAGTGCAGACAGGCAGTGCTATTGCATAGACATAGCTGCTAGACAGATGGTGCTGTCTACTGTGTGAATCCTCAGGACACTTTGATGTCATGCAGTGAACGAAAGGCAGGGATACCCCATGATGCTCAACACATCACAATCAAATATTCAGTTTTAAACAGTCTAAAAGTCCATTTTAGAGCCACCTGCTACTCGTAAAATTGTCATTTGTTTCACTCTTCTTGATGCTGAACTGATTTTTAATTCCCTTCTGTGGTTTGAAAGTGATTTACTGACTCTTGGAAAGAAGTCAGAAGCAAGTTTAACCACTTCCAAAACAGAAGGGCTTTGGGTAATCTAAACTTCTGTGTCTGCACACCATGTGATGCAGGAAGCAGTTGGACTACAGCTGATTTCTCTCAGTCAGGACAAATATGTACACAGGATATACGGCAGACACTGTTAGCCTGATGAGCAAAGGAACCAGCAATTAAAAGTAGCAACAGTTTAGCTGACAAAACCAACACAGCAACCATCCTAATCTATGCTAAGTAACCAGACCAGAGACCACCCAGAATATTTCATGATCTAAATTAAAAACAAATCCTCCTGCTGCTGGAATGCAGCACACAAACATCACAAATCTATTCAGACAGGATTCTTTGGGTGGAGATCCTGTGACGTGGGATGCTAATAATTAGATTTATTATTTAGATTTAACAATTTATTCGATCTATGTAGCAGGAAAAGTGCAGGACATCCTGTAGCAGTTTCTCATTGTTTCCAGACATTTTCTGACCAACAGTTCAAAATGCAGATATTTAAATGACATACACAAGAAAAAGCTGCAAAAACTCACCAAAAAAACCCCAAATGTTCTGCCTATTGATCATTCAATTAATATACTCATAATTTGAGCACACTGTTGTGAGCTTTCTGATCACTACTTTACCTGTTTTTTATATATATATATATTCTCTTCACACTTTGTAGAATAGTCTACTATTCTGATGCACTAACAAAAGTTTGACAGCCTGTAATAAAATCCTTTCTCATCCCTAATCAAATTTACCAAATGTTTAACATTTCAAGTGACTAATGCTCCAACTAAAAAGAGCACCTTTGGTCTCAGAACAGCCACAAATAAAACAGTTTTTACTGCTGGCCAAAAATTGCTACATTAAATGCATGTGACAGTGAAATAACAGCTGTGTCCTACTTAATATACACCTTATTCTTCACAAGCAACCTGCTCCAAATACTGAAAATCCTCATGCAGAACTTACTGAGTTTATAAGCACTTTAATATGGCAATCATTATGTGACTATAGGCTTCTGGTCCCAGTTTGAGATACACATTCTTGCTAAATTTGTGCAACACATGTGCATTCCTACATATGAAAGTATGTACCATGAGTAATATGAAGTAGTCAAGATAATATAAATGAAAATTAGATTTTTATAAATATTCAACAAAGGAGGCAAGAACATATGTCACCCAGAAACCACCTCTGTTAAGATTAGGAAATAGAATCAGTGTAGACACAAGTTGAAAATCTTAAAAAGATTCAGATGCAAAAACTAATGTCTAAAGATATTGCAAATCGATTAAAAACTGCAGTGAGCATTCTAACATGACTTTCTTTGCTTTTCAAAGATCACTAGTGACTGTACTTCAAAAAAGTGCAACCTCTGTCACTATATGGTGCAAATCTCGAGCAGTGACCCCATGACCCACCTGACATAAAGCTGACCCCAGACCACCAAAACCCACAATACTTCTGATTGATCACTGAGATGGTTTATTCAGTAACAAAGTCTGAACCCATCCTCTGGTTAAAAATGACCACTGTTTAGATACTTTATGATGTCCGCTGGCTTTTTCACTTGGTCCATTCCTGCAGCTGTGGACAAGGCGTATAACTACAGTGGTGACAGGTATGGGAATCTGTGCAACAATGAGGTCAGGGTCAGGCTGCAGTGAACTTCCAGACAGGATCTGCTCAGGCTGCCGCTGTGTCGATTGAAGCAGCTCTAACATTCCTGTGTTTGTCATATTTCTGCCTTGCCTGCTCTCGGGTCCCCCTCTCTGAAGGGCTTGGCTACAAGCTGCTGTCTGGGAATCATCCTGCACTCAGTGCAGGTAGTCAGAAGTTAACAGCAAAGAAAAAAGCCGCCGTGTAAACTTAACTGTGGATTTAATAGTCACAAGTGCTTTCTCTTGATGGTACCAATGCATTTGACATACCTGGAGACACCACAAATCAACAACAAACTATACACCCCCTCACAACACACTACAGGTGTATTATCTGGAAATAAAATCCAGGAAAACCACATGCATGGAAGGAAAATAATAAGAAGAGCATGATTTGGTGTCATATGACACCTCAGTGTCAGAAAGCAATGGGCTCAGTCAAACTATCAGGCAGTGGTACAACAAAAGCAGAGAACGTACCGGAAAGGGAGCGTCGGTGAGGACAGCCGTTACCTCCTCCTCAAATACGTATTTTTCTCCCGGTGAAACAGTTTAGATTCTCCTTTTTGCTGCTAATCCTCCGTCCGGCTCTTCTTCTTTTTCTACCGTTTTTTTTTTTTCCTTCGGTCTGGATGGAAAACGACGTCCTCTCTGAGGAGAGACAAGGGGCGGGCCCGGAGCGCTACGGCTGCCCATCCGACCAATCGGCTATCGATATGACTTTTCAGCTTTGATCCAATCGGAACCTGTTTCCAGCACATAGCCGTGCGCTCATTGGTTTCCTGAGAAAAGACCTCCCAGTTGAAATTACTACAGAGCCGGGTGAAAAGCTGTGGGAATGTGGTCGCTCTCAGATCGGCTCAGAGAGCTGGCCAACGCAGCAGCTGAGGGCGTTCTGCTGGAGACACACTTCACAAGTTTCTGTCACTTTAAACAATCTACACCACAACAGAAATAACCATCTTTACGGCCATGATTCGGAATGATACAACTGACAATAGTTCTATAATTTTATTTCATTTGTGTTTTGTTTCCTTAACAAAGCAGCACGAAACACCGTATATAATATGCCATTTTTCTATGAATCTACATTCGACCTATAAGACTTAATCAGCCTAAATAAGTGCCATAAAATTCTATCAACTATGACAAGTTTGACAAATTCCTAACAACACAACACTGGCGCCCTCTGATGGCAAGCCAGTGAACTAATCTACACTAAAAACAATGACCTCAGAGGTAATACCATGGCGAAAAGGGGTCAGTGTTAACTCCCCAATCCTCCAGCTTTGTCAAATGTATAGTTTTCCCATGCTGAAGTACGATGTGCTTATTTCTCATACTGTTAACACAGATCTCAAGTGTGTATAAAGCTAGACTTTGGCAACATCAACAATTTCTCTGAGGTACCCTACCAAAGGGATCAATAAAGTTACATCTAATCTAATCTAATCTAACATACACCCTTTATGACAGTGTCTTATGTGTCCACTGACATTGTTTATTAGTGCTGCATGTTCAGAAACAAATGAGCACAAACTCAAACCAGTTGAAAAATGACACATGTATCGTTCTACAGACAGATGTGTGACCCCAGGGCCGTGCCAGGTTTTTAACTCAGCTTTAGTCCATAGTCACCATGTTTGAAAAACACTACGAAACATGTAGAAAGGTGTGTTGGTCCCCTTGAAGTAGAGCTTCTCTGATACGTTGAGATTTCAACAAAAGTGTGTTCTGGGCTATTGAAAACCCCTGGCATGTTTTAATATGCATATACAGTAAATTGCTTACAATTGTTTTGACCCTCTGAACATCAAAACCCACCAATGGATTTAGGAAGCATGCTATCTTTAAAACATCACATAAATTAGACAATTTATTAGCCAGAAAGAGTCAAACCAGAAAGAAGCATCTGATTTTCAACTAATCATGTGTGACATTAAAATGTAACCAAATTCAGTTTTGTTTAATTTATTTATCTCAAACTGCATGTATATATAAATACAGAATAAGCAATGCATATAAAATACATAAGCATTATTGAGAATTCAAGTACAATGCTCAATAAAGAGAAAGAAAAAAACAGTAAAGATCTAATATAAACATAATAATGCACATACATACATATGTCAACTTCTATCTAGTTTGAGAAGGAACAGAATGAAGCAAAAGCTCATCTAGTTCTGCCCCTTATTTACAAAAACAAAAGAAAACAAACAAGCTAATAAACAAAAAAACAAATAAACCAAGAAAAAAGAAAAAAGAAAAAAACAAGACAGAGAACAATTTTTTACATATTCACCCAAAGTGCTCATCATGAAAGCAATGCCACAAAACATCCCTAGTAACCTCATCCCAAATCACTACACAATATCCACCTAAAATAAATAACCAGCTATGTGCACAGTTCTTAACCCACATGTTCTACCTCTATATACAGTATATGCGTAAAAATGCTACATATATTTACAATAAATAAGAAAACAAAAACAGAAACGTGTGTATAATATTTCATTGTATTATTTATATAAACCTGATAACACTTGGTCTATATCCATCCATCCATCCATTATCTATACACCGCTTCATCCTCACCAGGGTCGCGGCACTTGTCTATAGTGAGATTTAATTGTTTTTATGTTATGGCACGTTTTTAGACTGATGTCCAGGCTGTTCCACAGTTTTACTCCACAAACAGAAATGCAAATTCTTTTGAGAGTTCTACGGACCACTCAGTATATGAAATTATGTTTCCCTCTAAAGTTATAGTAAATTTAAAGTTTGGTACTTATCAAAAGAAAAAAAAAATCTTAATAATTTTTTTTTTTTTTTTTAATTGTTTTCACAAACTTCATTCTGTAAAACACAAAAAATACTTGTCTCTCAGCACTAACATGAAGCTATTGACAGCTGCAACCTACAGTCATGTGATAAAAATTCAAGGATTTTTCTGTTGAACTACAGGCCATGTTTACACAAAGCAGGGAGGAGACAAGGACGGAAACAAATATGAAATATAAGTAGTACAGTATCGGTAGTAATGCTGAGCCACCATTTTCCCCCAGTGTTGATAGCACCTGTGGGCACATGGACAAATGCTGTACGTGTTATTTCTAGATTTTTTTCAATTTTTGTAAACTAAATAATCACATAAATTGGATTTTTCATTCTTTTCTTTTTTAAATTACATATCCAGTGATAACTCTACTGGACTACAGAACGGACATTTCTCTGTTCTCTTGACTTGTCGCCATGGTTGTGTTGTCTCCATAGAGGTGCAGGACTTTATATTACAGTAAAAAATGAGCCCACAGTTATGAAAAAATATGACAGGAGCAAAGAAACACCCCAAAACTGCTTGGGGTTTAGAGGATTAAGCAGAGAACTAAACCTGCAGATTTTTTTGAAGCTACTATACGAGTACATGAATGTTTTAACTCGCACAGCTGATCAAGCGTCCACACTACGCCTGCATTTTAGGACTCCTAAAACTGATTCTGTTTTTAGGCCTGTTAGTATGGAAAGAGATTATTTCTGAGTGCTAAAACACTCCCGGCCTGCCTTTCCATTCCCTCCTGCTCACTTACAGCAGCTTGAGCATACCAGCTCATAATACAACTCTGCTTAAACACTGTAAGGCTATTCCATGCTTCACAATGATAAGTTGTATTACTGGAATAATTTAGCCACACATGTTTAGATACCACTGTTGCCTCGCAGCAAGAAGGTCGCTGGTTCGCGTCCCGGTGAGGGCACTGGGATTTTTCTGTGTAGAGTTTGCATGTTGCATCTTCTCTTTGCGTTCTCCGGCTTCCTCCCATAAGGTCCAAAAACATGTTGAGGTTAATTGGTGATTCTAAATTGTCCGTAGGTGTGAGTGTGAGTGTTCTTGGTTGTCTGTCTCTAAGTTTCGTCCTGGTGACCTGTCCAGGGTGTCCCCTGCCTTCACCCTAAGTCAGCTGGGATAGACTCCAGCCCCCCTGTGACCCTAGTGAGGATTAAGTGTATAGATAATGAATGGATGGGTGGATATTTAGATACAGAAAGTATACAAATGTATAGATACAAAAAGCCCCACCCGGCAAGTTAACAAGATTGGTTCCTTATGGCCAATTCATGGAATCCACATGCAGATTTTGAAAGCAGACAACAGCTGCACACATTGATCTATTCATCGTACAAAAAGTACACATTGTGCTTTAGTGGGTGGACAAAGCACAGTGAGTAGACAGAACACAGGATTTCTGGAGAATTTAGAGCTTTGCACTGTGTTGATGGAAAACATGCACAAATCAAAGCACGTCCAAAGTCTGGCAGCAACAACTTAACTCAAAACTCATTCAATGATCAATACAAATTTGGATGATGGACAATCTCCTCATACAATCTGTCCACATTACAGGCTTCTGTTTTAAGCACCATTTGTTTTCGTGGCACATGTACATAGTCACAAACTCTGGGCTCCATGCAGATATCGGCAGAGGGATCTGTGTGTACACTTGCAAACGTGGGTGGTTAATGAAACTTACATCATGCACAACCCTGCAAACACATGGACATGCAAAGCATTAGTACGCTGCTGCTTCAAGTTAAAAATGCTCAGCCATGGTGCTGAATGCTTATTTCTCTCATGTGTCCTCCACCATATAAAAACACTGTATGGACAAGATATCAAGATTAAGAACTTTTTTTTTTATTGGAGGGAAATTTTATTACAGTAGTTCACTCCTGGTTTGGGCTTATTAACAAGTGTTTCATCAAGCTGTATCAGGCTTCAGATATGAAATTATGAAAGTTGTTAGGACGTCAAAAACATATGGTCTTTCTCTCGTTGGCTTCTTACTATTAGCAATAATGTGGTCACATTTTCAAAACATGATCCGTTTAAAATATCTATCTTTCAGGTAACATCACGGGACTAATCTTGGTCATGGTTTAGAGACTGTGTCACAAACTGGGATTGTGCAGAGTCTAAGGACAACATGCTTTTGGATAAAATATGGAATATATAGACCTCAGTGTGATTGAAGCCAAGAGACAGATTAACAGGTACAAGGAAAAAAAAAAAAAAGTTTGGATATGTCGACCTCTATTGTAAGTTTGACCAATGATTTTGGACCTGTCTATTGAGAGTCCCCAGACATCATAGAAGTGCAACACAAATCACTTAAATGGTACAGCTGCTTTGGAGTTTTAAATGTATTGTTGTCCTTTATTACATGTAGAAGTATTGTGACTACTGTCCACACCAAAACTGTTGTGATCCTTTGTAATCATGGCTGTGATCATTTAAGAATAAAGCGCATCTATAAAAGAAGGACAGAGACAAGCCCCTCAAAAAGAGTCAGTATTAAGCCTACATGCTGCTCTGAGTCACTTGTACTGTTTATATTTTCAGAATTATTTGCTAAAAATACCACTCATATGTCATGTTGTTCTTGATTATTAAATTACCAAATAGTAAAGTAGTATCTTACATATTTCTCGAGGGGGATGCTGCTTAGTATTAAAATTATTCTGGAAAATTCACACTGTCAATAACATTGCAGGGTTATTATTCAAATTTGGTATGTTAATTTGTAATGGCAATCATATTCTTTTCCACTGGAAAGCACTTTGGCGTAGCAGATGTCATTTTGATGTTGCTTTATAAGTAATAGTGACATGACTTGACTCTCTCAGAGTTTCATTTCTCTACGTTGGATCAAGAAAATTCATCTGTCTGTTGTCAAAGTCTTCTCGCCCTCCTTTCTATATTTGTTTTTGTTTGGCAAAAAAGGTCTTTATTCTCTGCATGCTGAATGTACTGTGTTTAAAATCTACTGGGTTAATTCAATGCACTTTCATGGGAAGAAAACAATAAGCAGAGCAGAAATTTGTGGACACTTCACACAATGCATTTCCCCTCCATCACACACCGTCTTTAGGAGGCAAACTAATCATGTCAGCATGAAAGGCTGCTGCTGGACCAAGAAGAAGGTTATTTTGTTCGGTGGTTTGGCATCCAGGTCTGGAATTTGTTGTAGGGACTGGTTGTTATGTAATTGTTGTTTCTCCTTCCTTGATATCCCGGGAACTCAAGCTTACAGGTTTTCGCTTTTGGTTTTGACTTCATCTGCATCAAGTTGAAACAGATTACGACCAGAAACACAAGAGTGCTTCCGTCCCTATCAAACTAAAATGTCATTGGCATGTTCAGAATGATGGGTCCGCATATTGTGAGACTGTACGTACTGTATTTGTTGTCATATTCAATCATTTAAAAAAGAATATTTGATTTAAGCTCACATACGTACTTCACATGCCACAAAAACAAGCAAACGAGCAAACTGATTACAGCACTTCTCATATAAACAGAATGTCATACAAAGTGTTTTACAGAACAAAAGGACTTACAAAAAACGTCAAAAACTATACACTCATATATAGATATACAGATATATAGATATATACACGTGTGTGTATAAATTGAACTTTGAACACGTTTGACCTGGATTATATTTTGAAAGGACTCGACCAGACGTTTTAGTCATTGTGTGACAGCTCTGGTACCTTGACAACTGTGTCCCGCTTTCATCCACAGTGAAAACACACAGGTAAACGTTCAATGTGTTTAAGCAAAATGATTGCTTTACTGGTGTTGTATCGTGCTGCTTTTACATACCGTCAGTGTAGTATGTGACCTGTCTTTAGTACCTGGACCGTGTAGCTTTTGCCTTCACGATGACACATTTGGTATATGCCGAAGTAAAGTTCACTAGTGTTAGCCAGCAGAGCTAGCCACCGACTAGCTGTTAGCACAGGATTAGACCTGCTAACAATAGCAAACTAATGTTCGCGTACATTAGAAATGTGGTTAGCATTTCCACGGTTTACTGGTGTTGGTTTGTCAGCTGAACTCTTTGCTATCCAGGGTAACATCTGTTTAAATGGACACACTTGTGTTAAGGGAAGCTAATTTACAACGATACATGCTGAAACGCTTACTGTGCGTTCGGCTAAGTAGCTAACATGACCAGGAACCCATACGCGCCGTTCTGTCCTGAGTCGATGGGACGTCACACCAGACTCCCTTTACAATCTCGAAGGTTTACAGTTACCTTGTGGATTCTTAGCACCACACTGCAGGTGCTACATTTTAGAGACAAATTTTAAATGCCGAATTGTGTACCCTTTAATTCGGTTTAAGTATTGTAGCGTAATCAGTGCATATTTCTGAACTTTGTGAAGTTGCGCAAGCTTAGCTTACAGCACTTACCAATGACACATTAGCTTACCAGAGATCAACAGAAATTGTCGACATAAAGTGTACCGTCGAATATCATATATTGTAAATCACGGGCATGTTGTTTGTGTTTCGGCTGTGTGATTATCAAAAACCATGTAGTCCTTAAGTTTCTCCTACATGTTCTTCGTGGGGGCAAGTAGCTGTGACACTACACGAGCCGACGGAGGTGTGGATTCTGCACACAAATTCATAAAGAATTTACTTAGTTTCAACCACCCACTTACATTCTGAACAGCAACACCTGTATAAAAAAACTTTACGAGTTGACAAGCTGACGTGAGTTGATGGTTTTAATGTAGAAGTTAGCATTGTTCCTGCTGTCTAGCTCTTGTCGTATACCAAGCAGGTAAGCTAGCTACAATGTGGTGACATTCCACGAGTTCCTTGTGTTGAAGCGTCACTATGCTGTTGAAAGGTTGTGTAGTGTGTAAAGCTGTACACTTAGCCCAATTGGTATCCTTTCATGTGAATGTTGTCGAGGCTTGTAAACTAACAATGTAGTAATTATAGTGGAGAGATTAAAAAGCCAACGTTTATGTGTGCTTGCCACCGACGACAGGTAGTGTAGTGAATCTGGGTTGACTTGACTTATTTTTGTGTGTGGCTGGGACAGCTAATCATGTCTATCCTAAAATCAGAGTGTAAATCATTGATTGTGGCTCCTCACGTTAAGGCATGCTGTGTGCACTGTTGGCATTTCACCGTGTCGGCCGGCGTGTTCAGGCTGCTGTTGCCCACACGTGGTTGACTTTTGCTGCCTGATGCTCAAAAAGTCGACCTGTATCGCTAAGACGGTACAAACGTGAAAGGCTTATTGCTCTCTGCCCGGTTTTGTCACGTAGCAACAGCCACCCTGAGTGTGAAAGCTAAGCACATTTCAGGAAAAGTTGAGCTTTTGACACTTGAGGCATGCCTGACCTGAGTGGGGATCTCCTTTATCTGTAGCTCTGGTGCTGTTAGCTTGTAATACATCAACAAGGAAGTGTGTTATCAAGGGTTTGTTTCCACAAATCAAATTTTGGGTCAGCTCTGAAGGAAACACAAAGGGAAGCTGATCTAGTTCAACGCAGCTGTGGATTTTGTTTTTGCGAACCTTATCTTGTTCTAGAATATTTTTCACTTTTAAGGCATGTTACATGTTAGGCATGGTACTTTGTGTACTCAGCGATAATTTCCCTACCCCTGTTTTGAGTAAGCCCTGGCTCACAAGGCTGTCATTTTAATCATATATATCATATCACATATGAGGAGAAACTTCACAGATGTTCTTAGCTCTCATATCACATATGCACACACTCCAACATTGGCAAATAATCACACTGCAGGATAATATTCATGTTATCCTGCCAGAGGAGCAATCAGAGAATAGAGCACCACCTCATGTGATCTCATGGAGAGTAGATGTAAATATCATGAAGACAGTACAGCAACAGCCTGCTGTCATGTAATACTTTGCAGTGAGAAAAAACAACAGCAGAAGGCGGAACAGTTCTGGATGTGAAAATGTTTTTGGAAGATGTGGTCAACATTCTGGAGGTGAGATTTTATGTATTGGGTTTAATATCACTAAGGGTAGCCTCAAGGGCGAAAATGTTTAGCGTCGATTTATAACAGCATCTGCTGCTGAGGATGCTTCATTGACAATAGTACTCATCTGGATTTTAACTTGTAAGTAACTAACATGGCCCTACGATAGACTGGTGACCTGTCAAGGGTGTCCCCTACCTTCACCCTAAGTCAGCTGGGACAGGCTCCAGCTCCCCGCGACCCCAGTGAGGATTAAGTGGTGTATAGACAATGGATGGATGGATGGATGGAAATATCTAACATGTTTGGTAATAATTGGGGTGGCCTCGATGACTATTTGAGCAGTTTGGGATGCTTAAGGATCTGTAAATCCCTCACATTACTAAATAATCTGCGCTATATATTGGTTCAGACCAAGGTTCCAGGCAACATTTCTCCTTCAGTAAATTGAGGTGAAAGCCTGGTTCAATGAAAGCTGATCTGATTGAATGCAGCTGTGGAATTTGTGTTTTTTTGTTAGTTTTTTAACATGTATTGGAATATTTGCACATGTGAGATAACACAGTAGGAGTGGTACTCTGCGTGCTCTGTCTAGAGTTTTACTTGTGTACAGTGTTTTGACCAACTCAGGCTTAATCTTAAATTGCTTTCTCCTGACCAGACTGAACCAAACTGGTACAACCAAATTTGAAACCCAAGCATAGCTAGGCATGCATGTGAAGCCACAGTTTTGCCTCATTAATGACCGTTAGCTTTTCACCCACACACTCTCCACGCTGTCCTCTTTCACTCTTCCCACTGGGCTTTGAGAATCTACTTGGAACACACAAATGCAGAGAATTGGCGCAGTCAGAGAGAGGGATGTTTCGAAATGAATTAGATATGAAAATAGTTCAACCTGAACCAGACGAAGTATAGCAAGATGTTGACTCGCAAGATTTGTGAAAACCTGTCTCATAGTATTAAAAACTACTCATGAAGTTGTTGCCTAATGAAGATATTATTTAAGTAGACTTTTTGGACAGTAAGTGCTATCCTGTACCACAAAGTGAGATTCGTAAGTTAGTGAGATATGTTGAGCTTAAAGTCAGAGTTTGCAGCGTCACAAAGGTGGCTCTCTTTTAACCTGCTAGATCTCCATGGTAACTGATGCTACAGAGCTAACCTGGTGGGGAGCAGGTTATATTCAGAGTTTAAATCAGCTGGAAGAAACATCTCCTATTTACCAAATCTTTTCCTGACTATTTTTAATGAGCGATACACATTCTCAGCTGAGAGCATATGTTTTATCTTTGTAGCTGTTTAGCTGTGCGCCATTAATGTCACTGAATGAAGCTGTGCAGTTACAGTCTCACACACTGTATGCATCGTGTTGCCATTGGACACGACATGGTGATGCAGAAATCGCATAAATGTGGTTTTGTCCTGACTTGCTGTCAAGTCCATTTACACTGCTGGTACTGCCGCTAATAAAACACAGATTAGAGCGTTTATTATTCTACTGGTATTTATTACACAGAATATTCAATCAGTAACATAAACTTCAGTTAATTTGGCCAAAAATAAAGGAATATCCTGTACACTTCAATACGATATCATGTTTGAATATATGAAGTTTAACAGCTCTGATGTGCAACTGTCCGCTAGAAATAATCGGCTGCATTACCAGCATTACTGTCTCACATCATTTGCAGTAGCAGCGCTTTGTAATGTCATAATTTTTAGTTTTTCTCATTGTTCTACCTCGTAACACCGTGTTGACTGAAGCAGCTGCACACAATCATTTCATTTTGTGCGGAACAAGAGTCACATGACACATTAAATGTCCCTTTTTATGTGAACGCGTGCAGAGTTTGAAGCAGATAGCCTGAATTAACAAAGAAAGTTGGTAACCACCTTCATGAGACCCATTATCTCTGTCTGGGGCTTTAGTTTTTGTCAAATGGACTTCCACAAACCAAGCCTTGCTTTGTCAAACTTGCATCATGATACAGCCCTCTGGTTGTTCATTTTGATGCCTGGTACCACTGAAGGTATATTACCTTAAGAATACAATGAACTCAATAAAAAATGCAGCTGATTACATAATACTTTATGTCCTATTTGACATCTTTAAGCTCAATTGTATTCCCAGAGTATATAAGAGGCCGTTTCATGTCATAAGCAGCACTGCACATGGAAAGGCCTACAGCAGTTTCTTGCTTACATTCTAGCAGTAGCACAACTCAGAAGTTGTCAGCTCTCCCATAATGCCTAAAACAAAAGAATTATGTGACGACACAAAGGCAGCCATCTTGGCACTGCTGGAAATTGGCGTGAGTGAGAGACAGGTAGCGAAAAAACTGAAGATCTCCAAGACAGCCGTTCATTACACCAAGAAGAAACAAAGCTCAACATTGTACTACCAAATTGTTAGTTGGTCGCGGCAGGAAACATCTTTCTACCCCACAAGATGACTATGTACTCATCTGTTCCTGTGTCAGGAATCGACCTTAAAAATGAGTGGGCACTGTCAAGAAATGTGGCTTGTTCAGCAAGGACAGTTTGAAACAGACTTCTTGAAGCTGGTCTGAAGTCACACAGGGCAGGAAGAAGCCCTTCATCAATGAAAGGCAGAGGAAAGTCCTGTTACTCTTTGCTGAGGATCACATGGATTGGACTGTTGATGATTGAGCTAAGGTTCTCTTCAGTGATGAATCCAATTTTCAGTTGATGCCCTCTTCAGCCAACTACCTGGTTAGGAGGAAGCCTGGAAAAGCCTACAAACCAGACTGTCTTGCCCCTACAGTAGAACATGGAGGTGGATCAGTGACGATCTGGGGTTGTTTCAGTATGAGTGGAACAGGGCAAATGCAATTGTTTGAAGGTGAATGAACCAAGTCATGTACAGGGCTACTCTTGAAAACAGTCCTCTTCCATCAGCTGGAAAACTCTTTCCTGCCTCAAATGACTGGATATTCTAACAAGACAATGCCCCTTGCCACACAGCAAGGTCAGTTAAAGCCTGGATGGAGAACCAGAACATTAGAACCATGCCTTGGCCTGTTCAATCACCAGATCTAAATCCAACTGAAAACCTGTGGAAAACCATCAAATGCAAAATGGAGAACCACAAGCCCAAAAACAAAGCACATTTGTTTGAATTTGTGCAACAGGAATGAGCTGCTGTGACAGCAGAACAATGTCAGAAGCTGGTGGAGAGCATGCCAAGACGCATCTCTGCAGTCATCAAAAACAATGGTTATGCAATCAAGTACTAACTATCAGACCTTAAATTAAACTCTTATGAGCTATTTTTGTTGTTGTCATTATATTTGTCCAAACAAATGTATCTTTAGTGGTACCAGGCATTAAAATGAACAAGAAATTGAAGAAAACAACGGTGGTCTGATGTTTTTCTCCATGACTGTATTTCTAGCTTGTGATCAACTCTAATGGAGACGACAGGAGTTCGTGAGATTGATGTGGCGAATAGAAGAATTGTGGGAGGCAGTGATTCCCCACCGGACCTGGACAGCCCATCTCAGGTAACCACTGTAAACATGTTATTTTTGTGTTAATGTTTCTTCATTTGTTTTGCCATCACAGGTATAATTCGGTTTCTTTAAAGTGGGGTTGCATGAGGTACGACAGGTGAGACTGCAAGGGACTACAGATGAAAATCATCTTGAAGCTATGATACAAAACATATACACTGCCTCTGTAGGGTCACGGCGGCGGGGCAAAAGCAGAGGATACCCTGGACAGGTCGCCTGTGCATCACAAAGCCATGCAGAGAGACAGACAACCAGCACACTCACATTCACACCTACGGACAATTTAGAATCACCATTTGATCTCAGCAGGTCTTTCAGACAGAAAGACACCAGGCCGAGATTCAAACCCAGCATCTTCGAGCTGTGAGGCGACAGTGCTATCTACTGTATCACTTTGCCACCCCTATTCCAAATATATATTTGTTAGTATTATGTAGATATTTAGTAAATATTTCAGAAAATGTATCTGTTTGAAATATCAGGCCAATTGAAAAATTTAAGGTGGGAATAAGTGAAGTGTAAGTATGAAGTGAGTAACATTTTCCTCCAGCCATGGTTGTGCTGTTTCCATAGAGGTGCTGAACTTTATATTGCAGTGAAAATCAGCCCACAGTTATCACAAACATGACCATCTAAACCTGCAGATTCTTTTAAGCTACCACACTAGTACATTAATGTTTTAAATGGCACAACTGACCAACCGTCCACACTACTCCTGCATTTTAGGACTCCTGAAACTGTTTTTAGGCCTGTTAGTATGGAAAGAGATTATTTCTAAGTGCTAAAACATTTGTTCGGAGGGAGATTGTTTTTGTTTGTGAAAGTGAAAAAGAATTGGGTGTGGATGAAACTCTAGTGGAAATACTCTTGTTGGTTCATGAAACATCCTGGTTAAAGGAACTATTAAGTGAAGATGTATAGCTGCTTGATATTCATATGGATGTGTATGTATGTTATCAGGAAGAGGTTGCAGAGTTTGGTTTGGAGTTGTGCTGCACTGAGGAGGAGAGAGGGGAAACGCCAGGCAGAGAGGACAGTCCCAGTGACCTCGGCGAGGCAGAGCTTGATCCTGGAGGAGACATGAAGACCAGAGAGGACAAAACCTTTGGTAGGGGCACCACAGTTTATCTCACAGGCACTCAACACATGTTCCTAGTTCCATAAATGTGATGGCAAATTCACATCTGATGGTTTTTTTTTTTTGTCTTTATTTCCTTTAAGGTACAGGAATTTCTAAAACATAATAATGAACAGCTGAAGTATGAATATATATTTCCAAATAAAAAAAAATGTGTCTTTATTTTGACCACAAAAATTGAAGAAATTTTTGAATTAACTTTCTGAAACAGGCCTTTTGCTAAGTATTGTATACAGGGCTGCAACTAATTATTATTTTGATAATCAATTAATCTGTCGATCATTTTTCCAAATATTTGGTAAATCATTTTTTTATACAAACATTTTTGTTTAGCCTTTATTACCCAGGTAAGTTATTAAGAACATATTTTCATGAAGAAAATGAAAAACTCAAGAGAGTTGTGCGTTATACAGCATTTTAACTAATTTCTATAAAACAGCTTGAATCCGAAGGAACACAATAATCTTTATACCTACCTTGTCAGTGTAAAGCTTTTTCAATTCAAAGCATCAAACACAAAAAATTGTTAAAACAAAACAATACAAAAAACTGTTAGTTTTTGCAAAGTTTGCAGGTCACTCGTCTTTTTTGTAGATTTCCTGTGAAGTGCTCCCACACTTTGGATGACTTTGTGAAGTTTTGTCTCCTGATTTATGTCTTCCCTTTTTTCTTCGAACTTTTGCCAGCCACCTCCGCACTCTGGCTGAATGCAGGACTGTGCTGTGGTGCATGTGACATAAAACAAGACCAACTATTGGCTGTTCACTACTTCTCCTGCTGTACTGGTAGATTACAGCCACCGGTAGCTCAATACTGCCACACTTTGGTAGCTGCTATAACAGATTGGTTAATAATTTGAAAAAAGAAGAACAAGCCACTTATGGTAAAAAAAAATATTATTAAGCAACTAATCGATGACTAAATTAGTTGACAGCTATTTAATTATCAATTTTAATCGATTAGTTGTTTCAGCCCCAATTGTTTAGCAAATTTTAAATAAAAGCTGGTATCATCATAGATAATATAGTAGTTGTCTGAAATTCTCAGTGCTCTTTTCTAGTTCGAGTAATCAGAAATGGAAAACCAGAAAAAAGCTCTGAGGCACTGCTGTTCAGAGTGTCCTTCCTAAGTTGCTGCTATGACTTTTTTATTGAGGGACATCTAAATCATCAATGGTTATATTCTGTCTAGTCTGACTCAGCGGATGTAGGTTGTGGGTATAAGCCTACAATTGGACGATCATTTCCGTCTGCATTCTCTCCCCTTCTGCTCTTCATGTGTTACCGCTTTCTTCTCCCATGAGAAATGACAACAGCAACATCTGGACATCAACCTAATTGCACTGAAAATGAAACTGTAGCTGAAAGTTTTGCCTAGGATTTGGATCGTTCAGTAAGGCAGCCCCGCTAGTTTTATCTGGTGGCTTATCCATTTTAATCACAGTGCTCGTCTCCCTGCATGCAGTTGTTCCACCACAACAATTCCACCTTCACTATTTTAAGGGAGCACCCCCACCCCTTAACAGACTTGTAGTGTGGCGCAGCCAGACTAGTACGTTGTACAGAATGGGCTGGCAAAGTGACACTATAGTCTGTCCATTTGATTTTTTATTTTTTTTGATTATTGTCTTTTGTTTTGGTTTATGTTCCAGGGAAGGAAGTTGTTCTTTTAATGCAAGCCCTTAACGCTCTAGCCACTCCAGAGGAGAAACTAGCAGCTCTGTGCAAGAAATATGCAGACCTGGTAAGCAGAATATCAAAATACCAGTATTTGATACAGAGAGCGTATCCTTTTCATTTCCAAATGACTATGATATGCCTTTTTATTTATGCAAGGAAGGTTAATGTTTGCCTGTAATGTGATCTTTCTTTTGGTGACTGTGTGGTGTTTTCAGCTGGAGGAGAGCCGCTGCATGCAGAAGCAGCTGAAAGCCCTGCAGAAGAAACAGTCTCAGATAGTAAAGGAGAAGATCCACCTACAGGGGGAACACAGCAAGGCCATCCTGGCTCGCAGCAAGCTGGAAAGTCTCTGTAGGGAGCTACAGAGACACAACAAAACACTGAAGGTACATCAGCCTACTGCAACTTGTACTAGCGTAAGGAGAGTAACCACTATTAAAACAAAGTATTTTCAGAACACAGTTCATGACTATTCCTTGAAGTGACATGGTGTTTCAATAGCATGGACTCTCCTTTAATTCTTATCAATGCTAGCTTTCATTTCTCATATGTTCTTCTGTCCCTTATATAATATCATTTGTTGCCAATGCTTAGAGAAGATTGTCCTTCTCTCATTCCCTCATCTGTCACCTGACAGGAGGAGAATGCCCAGCGGTCCAGGGAATACGAAGAGCAGCGGAAGGAGGCAATGCTGCATTTCCAGATGACCTTGGGTGATATTGAGGTTCAGATGGAACAGCACAGCTCCCACAACACCAAGCTGAGGCAGGAGAACATGGAGCTAGCTGAGAAGCTCAAAAAGCTCATTGAGCAGTATGAGCTCCGAGAGGAGGTAAGACTTAATTCACTTAATGATGATTCTTTCACTCACACCAGAGTCAGCTATGAAGTTCCACAGGATTCTGTGTTAGGACCAATAATATTTACTTTGTATATGCTCCCCGTAGGCAATATTATTAGGAAACACTGCATACATTTCAGTTGTTATGCAGATGACACCCAGTCATCTTTATCTATAAAGCCAAATGAAACCAATCCATTTGTCCAACACCAAGTATGTCTTACGGACATAAAGGCTTGGATGACTGGTAATTTTCTTCATGTAAATTAAACTGAAGTTACTTTATTTGGCCCTAAGCACCTCAAAAACACGCTATCTAACCAGATAGTTAATCTGAACGGCATTGCCTTGGCCTCCAGTTATACTGTGAGGAACTTTGGTTTTGTTTTCAACCAGGACATGTCCTTCAACAGACACATAAAGCAAATCTGTAGGACAGCCTTCTTTCACCTGCGTAATATAGTTAAAATCGGGAACATCCTGTCTCAGAGTGATGCTGAGAAACTAGTCCATGCATTTGTAACTTCTAGTCTGGACTACAGTAATTCTCTATAATCAGGATGTCCCAGTAATTATCTTAAAAACCTCCAGCTGATCCAAAATGCTGCAGCCAGAGTCCTGACAGGAACCAGTAAAAGAGATCATAGTTCTCCTGTATCAGCTTCTCTTAGTCTTAGTTAGTCTACTAAACTTGTGTCTTTTTGTGCATTTTCAGTCACACAGAGCTGTTCTGGGAAATGTGACCTTTGACCTCTGTAGCTGTCACCAATGCATGTATTGACCCCAAAATCTAATCACTCCGTGAAGGGACCATACCGAGGTCATATATTAAGTTTCAGGTTCAAACTCCTCTCCTGTAAAAAGCTAGAGTGTTAACAGACAAAGAAAAAAAAAAAATGCACGCATACACACAAAAACAAACACAGGCACAATTACTCTATAGTTGCCCATCGATGCGCAACTATAAAAATCAGAGCTTCAGGAGTCAATGAGTTCTGGACTGGAAGATAGAGGGTCAGATGAGTGACTGTCGAGAGGTGACTTATGTGTATGTTGTTCTGAGTTTTCCAATTCATGAGGATAGTTTTCTTGGGGATGGTTAGAGCTATGAGGAGAATTCTTGAATGTATTGTGTTTTTAGAAAGTGCATTGAGGTCCCCTAGCAGACAGAGGGAGGGGTTCAGTGGGGTGCAGCAGCCCAGGAGGTTGGATGGTGTTTGTGTAATGTTCGTCCAGAAGTTTTTAACTGGTGGGCAGTGCCATGTTGCATATATGTACAGTTTGTGTCTGGGCAATTTTGGGTGCAGTGTGAGCAGATTCCTGAAATGGACCCCATTTTGACCAGCTTTGCACCAGTTTGATGTGTTCTGTGAAGAATTTTGTATTGTATTTGTTGAAGGGTTGGCATTTATGGTCATAGAATAGATATTTTTACAAATTTTGGTCCAGAAGTTGGCATCGAGAGCAATTAAAATGTCGTTCTCCCACCTACCAGTTGGTAGGGCAATGGTTGTTTGTGGTAATGGGTTAGATATTACCTTGTACATTTTGGAGAGTAGTTTTTTGAGGAACTTATATAGCAAGCCAGAAACTGCTGTTGGTAGTTGGAGATTTGTGGTCGCAATGTTAATTTTTGAAGAGAGGGAGGATTTGAGTTGTAAGTATTTAAGAAATTCATTGCTCCCAATGCCATACCTCTGAACCAGATCAGAAAATTAAACCATTGGAGTGTAAAATGTGCTTGAAATGTGATATACCCCTTATAGCCCATGTGCAGAAATTCAGTGGGTTTTTTTGTTACTTAAAAAACACGCTGGCTTGTTCTTTGAAAGTGGCACGGGAGGAGAAGGGAAAAGGATGTGTGTCCTCTGTTTAAAAGGTTGCTCCTTCTGCTGGCCCAGTCGTGGAGCAGCAGTTCCTCCACATCCACCAATCAGAGAGCTCTACCTGTTCCAGCTTCATTTCCTCCTGCAGACACACACACACCCACACTGAGGGGAGGAGAGAGATGTCCGCCCTATTAACAAAACCCAGGGTCATAACATGTGCCCTCTGTGCTTACTAAGGTTGTATTAATGTGGAACTTGTGCCATTGCCAAAGGTAATGGGTGCTTTAACACGTGGCCCAGGATAAAATGCAATATTGATAATAATAGCTTAACTCTCTGAACCCCAAAACCTATCAGCAGGTTTAAAAGGTATGTTATCTTTCAAGAAAATCACCACCACAACACCATTTGCCAGCCAGAAACTGTAAAATGAAAAAAATCCTCAAATTTTCAACCTTCTGACAGTAATTGAACTCCTCCTCTATGACTCGTCATTCCTTTGAAAAATGCAACCTAATCTGAGCGTAAATTTGTGGCATTTCCTTAGTATCACTTTATTCGACGTGTTCCATAAAAAAATTGCCAAAAATAAACCGTTTGTACCAGATTCTGTAAAAAATCCTTTGAGCAACTGTGAAGCCATTTGTGAGCCGACTGTGACGAGCACTCAGGTGACAAAACTTCAGGGACTTCTTGGCTAAACTTTAGGCTGTGTTTACACGGAGCAGAGAGGAGACAAGTATGGAAGCAAATTAAAAATGTCATTCAACCTAATGGAAATGTGGTATGTGTCTCCCTTGCAGCACATAGACAAGGTGTTCAAGCACAAGGAACTGCAGCAGCAGCTGATGGATGCCAAGCTGCAGAGAATCACCGAGATGATGAAAGAAGTTGAGGAGAAGCAACAACGAGAGAGAGACTTTGTGAGAACATCTCCTTTGTCCGTGCTTTATATGAGTTTATGTTGTTTTTGTTTTGTTTTTTTATTGTACCATCAAAGCAGTAGTAAATAGTTAGTGAGTGAGCAGAAATCAAATCTTCAAACAGTACTGAGGATCATTGTTGGTACTGACGCTGTGCTGACGGTGCTGTGATACCTTAGCTGCTGAAAGATGCCACGGAGTCCAGACGCAAGTGTGAGCTGATGAGGGAGCAAGAAACACAGCTTAAACAACAGGTAAACACACACACACACACTTTTCTATGTGGATCAGAATATCTGTCAATACTGTAGTTCCTTACCTGGAATATAAAAGCCTCGTATTTACTTTTGATGTGTTCAATTCAGCTGAAAGGTTTGAAAGTGAGTTCTCTCTGCTCTCATCTCATCTCTCAGCTCTCCCTGTACATGGACAAGTTTGAGGAGTTTCAGAGCACTCTGGCTAAAAGCAATGAAGTCTTCACCACTTTTAGACAAGAGATGGAGAAGGTGAGGCCAAGAAACAGTCTTCCACCTGTTAGTGTCTCATTGGTTTCCCTTCCTGCTACTAAATCTGTGGATTTGCCTGCAGATGACCAAGAAGATCAAGAAGCTGGAAAAGGAAACGACACAGTGGAGGACCAAATGGGAGAGCAATAACCAGGCCCTGCTGCAGATGGCAGAGGAGGTGAGTTAAAGGAGAATCTATGTGCTTGAAAACAGACATTTTCTTGTCTGTCAACAGACAACCAAAGGTCATACGTCCTGAAGTGCTAAACAGAATGATTTTTACAGCATTTCATTTTAAAATTTTCCATTTTTCTTAATGGTAGAAAAAAAGCAGGAAACATGTATGATTGTAAGATCTTTGTAAACATATAACTGATATAACTTTGGACTTTTTATAATATCTTCATTTGATGCTGATTTGTGCCTCTGCTCTGCTTTTTTTTTTTTTAGAATAATAATTTTTAAAAAGCATAAATTACAAAATTCCATTTACAAACTACAAAAACACAAAGAATGGTCAGATTTTCAAGTTTCCATCAGTCCTAGAACTAATCATGTGTAACTTTTGGTTTAGTCAGGGAAAATAACAGAATTGAAACAAAAAATTGTGATATTTCATCAAAATCACTTTACATGTCTCCTTTAAAAAACAAAATCCAAAAGTAAACTGTTTTCAGTAACAAGATGCTTTAAAAATTGTAATGAAGTGTTCATGGCTCTTTTGGTTGTCTTCAGCTGACTTTGATGATCCTATGAATTTTCTTCCAGCTCTGCCATGAGGTTGACATTTTTGGTTTTAAATTTAAATGTAATCTTCACTTAACATTTGGTCAGTCTTGTTGCTTGACAGCTCAAATCAAATATTCTCATCTCTTCATTCATACTCATGAAACACTGTGTTGTGTTGTAGAAAACGCTGCGTGACGGCCACTTCAAGGCACTGCAAGGAAAACTGGAGCTGCTGGAGAGGCTATGCAGAGCTCTGCAGAAGGAGAGGAATGACTTGAACAACCGGCTCAGCCTCCTCCAGGAGCAGGGAGACAAAGGGACCACAGCACCTCCTGATGCCCAACCACGGGAGCCTTCAGCTGAGGAGGAGGATGAGGAGGAGGAGGAGGTGGTAGTGGTGGAGGAGGAGGGGGAGGAGGAGGAAGAGGAGGAGGAAGATTCTGAGGATTTGGCACAGGGTGATGGGCTGGAGACACAGGGGGTCCACCAAGCTTTGAGATCATCTGAAATGGATCTCACTGACAAAACCACTGCTGCTGTGCCAACAAGTAGCCAGTCTGCAGAGAGGCCAACCGTACAGCAGGACTGAATTAGTCGACATAACCCGTGTGGAGGTGAGAAGGGTGTGATAGGAAAGCTCTACGCATCTCCAGCCTTGTTCCATAACTAGCCAGAAAAACGATGGAGATTTCATTTCTTTTGTTCATTGTAGACTTGCCTCTCCAAATTTCTACACGGAAAATGAACCCATATCTTTTTGTGCGATAGATTAAGAACAATACGATGATTATATCAAGGATTCCGTTCTAAAACTTTGCCCACGTTTACATTGGTTTTAATAATTGGCTTTGTGGCGAGCACTTCGTACTCCCTGTTTTCTACCATAACTGTATTTTCATAGAAAACTTCCATGCAGTCAGTTTGAAGCTGTGTAGTCTAATTAGCCTTTTATTTCTCTCCACATGGTCTCTCCCTCCAGTGTCACATGTCTTGTGTTTGGAAATTCTACTTTGAATAAATTCAAACATAGGTACTTCACATGCATTCTGTCGCAGGTGGTTCTGTATTTATTCTGACCCAGTCCAGCCAGGCAAAAACGAAACAACCTAAAACCAGTTAGTGTTGGTGTAAGCCAGGGTATATATCGCCTAGCAATTTAACTGTTTTAACAAAGGAGGAAACACTGAACACAGGGTTGGGCATCTGGAACAGCCACAGGGTGTGAAATACTGTTGCATGGATATGGGGGTTTTTTTGTTGTTTTTTTGTTGTTTTTTTTCACAGCAAAGTTAATGTGCATGTCACTGAAAAAGGTGGTTCTGATTTGAATCTTGGGATTGTAACGACTAACCTACCAAATGCTAACTAGTGGGAAACATGCTGTGTAGTTAGCTGTGGTCAGCTGATCACAATGGCCCAACAAAGTAACCAGCTTGCTAATTACAAGTTAGCAAGATGATAATGGGGATGTCACTTGATCTAAGAAAAATAAATAAATGTGTTAAACTCAAAATTAGACATGCCAAATGCCAAACATGCAAAATCAGGGAAAGCCTTGTACTCCAGTGAGGGCCGTCCTAAACAGCTTTCAATATACTGTTGTTCACTTGTGCATGGTATCACTGAAAACAATGATGCCAAACCATTTGAAAAGCATTATGTGAAGGCATTTTGGATTGGACACCAAAGATGGCAAACTTGGGGGTAAAACTGAGCCTGACTGTGAAGTGCTGTTTGCATGTCAGTAAAGTGAAGTACCTGAGGCAGAGGGATCATACAGCAATTGTTCTGGAAGTGTAGGCTCAAGCTGCTTAGGTTCTCTTTAAAGGAAGTCAGAGAAATCATTTGATATTGACTTCTTGAANTTCATACTCATGAAACACTGTGTTGTGTCGTAGAAAACGCTGCGTGACGGCCACTTCAAGGCACTGCAAGGAAAACTGGAGCTGCTGGAGAGGCTATGCAGAGCTCTGCAGAAGGAGAGGAATGACTTGAACAACCGGCTCAGCCTCCTCCAGGAGCAGGGAGACAAAGGGACCACAGCACCTCCTGATGCCCAACCACGGGAGCCTTCAGCTGAGGAGGAGGATGAGGAGGAAGAGGAAGAGGTGGTAGTGGTGGAGGAGGAGGGGGAGGAGGAGGAAGAGGATGAGGAAGATTCTGAGGATTTGGCACAGGGTGATGGGCTGGAGACACAGGGGGTCCACCAAGATTTGAGATCATCTGAAATGGATCTCACTGACAAAACCACTGCTGCTGTGCCAACAAGTAGCCAGTCTGCAGAGAGGCCAACCATACAGCAGGACTGAATTAGTCGACATAACCCGTGTGGAGGTGAGAAGGGTGTGATAGGAAAGCTCTACGCATCTCCAGCCTTGTTCCATAACTAGCCAGAAAAACGATGGAGATTTCATTTCTTTTGTTCATTGTAGACTTGCCTCTCCAAATTTCTACACGGAAAATGAACCCATATCTTTTTGTGCGATAGATTAAGAACAATACAATGATTATATCAAGGATTCCGTTCTAAAACTTTGCCCACGTTTACATTGGTTTTAATAATTGGCTTTGTGGCGAGCACTTCGTACTCCCTGTTTTCTACCATAACTGTATTTTCATAGAAAACTTCCATGCAGTCAGTTTGAAGCTGTGTAGTCTAATTAGCCTTTTATTTCTCTCCACATGGTCTCTCCCTCCAGTGTCACATGTCTTGTGTTTGGAAATTCTACTTTGAATAAATTCAAACATAGGTACTTCACATGCATTCTGTCGCAGGTAGTTCTGTATTTATTCTGACCCAGTCCAGCCAGGCAAAAACGAAACAACCTAAAACCAGTTAGTGTTGGTGTAAGCCAGGGTATATATCGCCTAGCAATTTAACTGTTTTAACAAAGGAGGAAACACTGAACACAGGGTTGGGCATCTGGAACAGCCACAGGGTGTGAAATACTGTTGCATGGATATGGGGGTTTTTTTGTTGTTTTTTTGTTGTTTTTTTTCACAGCAAAGTTAATGTGCATGTCACTGAAAAAGGTGGTTCTGATTTGAATCTTGGGATTGTAACGACTAACCTACCAAATGCTAACTAGTGGGAAACATGCTGTGTAGTTAGCTGTGGTCAGCTGATCACAATGGCCCAACAAAGTAACCAGCTTGCTAATTACAAGTTAGCGAGATGATAATGGGGATGTCACTTGATCTAAGAAAAAATAAATAAATAAATGTGTTGAACTCAAAATTAGACATGCCAAATGCCAAACATGCAAAATCAGGGAAAGCCTTGTACTCCAGTGAGGGCCGTCCTAAACAGCTTTCAATATACTGTTGTTCACTTGTGCATGGTATCACTGAAAACAATGATGCCAAACCATTTGAAAAGCATTATGTGAAGGCATTTTGGATTGGACACCAAAGATGGCAAACTTGGGGGTAAAACTGAGAAATGCTGTTTGCATGTCAGTAAAGTGAAGTACCTGAGGCAGAGGGATTGTACAGCAATTATTCTGGAAGTGTAGGCTCAAGCTGCTTAGGTTCTCTTTAAAGGAAGTCAGAGAAATCATTTGATATTGACTTCTTGAAATAGTGACAGCTCTATTTGGTAGCTGAGTTGCTAACTGGACAGTTATGTGACGTATTCTATGAAGTCCTGTGAATCTGGTGGAGCAGGTTGTTAGCAGTGGAGGGTTGAAGAAAATTGATTTTATTTTTGTTTTTAATGGTTTCCTAAGTTGGCTAGATTTTCTTGACCATCAGCTCATTGATAGTTGAGCTCTAAAAAAAGACTGTTCAGCTTTTAGGTGATTATCTGTATGGCCGGTGAGTCTGACCAATCCTAGCTGTAGAAATAAGCCTGCTGTTGAACACATTTCCAGAAAGAGCTACATTCAAACCCTCCGTGGGTGCCGGCCCCCAACGAGCAGCTGCACTGTGACATTTTGAGAATTAATTTGTAATTTCATGAGAAAGTAAGGCCAAATTAGCCAGGTCTGACATCTTGAGGATTGGTACTTAAATTGCAGTTTGATCATTTTACCTCCCAATTTACATCTGTTATGTTGTCATCCACCCTTGAAATTGTTGTTGTGCAACAAAAATGATGTGAAGAGATGAAAGCTCAGTAGATATCCACATGTAAAACTGAACCATGTAACATATGGTGGGCCCAACAGGTTGTACATAGAAGAGCCAAGTCAGAAGTTATCGAGCACCTTTGTCCGTCGACCAATGATTCCCATGATGTGGGTTAGGTTTGAAAAATCACCGAATAATGAGCTTTGTTGTATTTGAAATTTATACTGGAAAATAATTGAATGTGATTTGCTTTTTTAATAACTCTAAATAAAAAGATGTTGACTTCTGTCAGTGATGCATATTCATAAGAACTATTACAGGAGGTGCATTATTGTACACGAGGAAACTCATCGCCGTGTACGTATAAACTTGATATGAAGAAAACAGCAGGGTCAAATGGAGTTCTGGATCTTGTTTCATATTGTGGGATTGTTGTACTCGTAATCATTTCTGTTTTGTTTTGTGGAAAAAAAAAAAAAAAAAAAGAATTCCTTTAAATCAAAGTCAGTTAACACACTTGCTTCTTTCGCACCTTTTCTCAGTTGGCAGTTTTTGTTTAGGGCACATTTGTCAAATTTTTTAACCCTGCTGGCTCCAACAGCTCATAGCTCAACTACTATTATGCAACATGGCCAATGTTAAGTTTAGCACTTAGTTCATAAAGGAGGTTCTGTAACCCCCTGTAACAGCGGCATCCTTATTTAAAAGCCCTTTTGAAAAAAACAAATACAAATCTGTGGGTATCAGACTGATCCAAGATCAGCATCTTTTGGTTTCTCAACATCTATTTCACAAATTTTTCTCACCTTTGAGATACTTTAATCTAAGTGTAGTGGTAACTAAACAAATCTCAGCATACTGTAAAGTCAGTGAGAATCACAACTGACTAGTAAGTGTGTACATGAACAGTTGCCTGTTGGACAACAGAGCGAGTACATGTGACTAGGTAGGTGAGATGTGATGTGTTATTTTTTTTCTCTGTAACCTCTCCTGGCCTTTCTAAACTGCTCCACTTCAAGCAATTGTGTTTATTTAAACTAAACAGATGTGAACATGTACAGGTGGTGGATGGTTGTAGCTGAGGGAGGACTTTGCTGCATCTACTTTCTTTGTTTGCCGTTGCCCCAGACTGACTCTCAGGTAATGTCAGAATCTACCTCTGTAGGTAAGACTGAAAGAAAAGGCCTGAGTCACCATAGCTTTGAAGAGCTTTATTTTTTACTAAAAAAAAAGATTAGCCCACCCCCCGCCCCTTGATTGTACAATGCTCTTATAGTCCTGTCTTGCCTTTAAATAAACATTTTGTAGAATTTGCAATTATGTTTTTTTTTTTCAGTGATTCCTGGGTTTCATGTCATTTGCTCTGAAGTGTCAGAGTGAAGTGGGTGGGGGGTGTCCTCCATGTGTGCAGCTTTTATGTTTCCTACAAAGATTGTTCAATCAGTCCTTGGTTGGAGGAAAGCTTGAAATTATTTGAAGAAACTGACTTTGACAATGACAAGCTTATTTTTTAAAAAAATACAAAAGCCTTGTTACAATTTGTAGTGCAGGAAACAGAACAGTGATTTTCCAACATGTAACAGGAAGAGAAAAAGAAATCTGTTTCCTTCAAGTGTACTCATTTAGTCCCACAATGTTCACACAAGCCAAATCCTGAAGTGTCGATGTACCTTCTGTATGGATGACAAACACAGTGAATGTTTGCTCAAAGGACAGCAGTAACATGCCAGTCAAATGCAATATTATCGAACAAACATAACAGAACAATGCTTAACAGGTGGAAACAAAGTATGAAACGCAGCTTCCCTGGGCACGACCAGCATGGCTCGCATTAAACTATGATCAGGTTTCCAAAAATACTTTTTGTGCTCCTGCAATCTTCTGTTGCTCAGGTTTCAGGGAAAGCCTACTATCTGAGGTCTTCTGCCTACTCATGAACTGTATAATGACTTTCATGTTTTCCTTAGCCTTTTGAAATTAACTGGTCATTAGAGTTTACAGTGATTGTATACACAAAGGCTTTCTGCTCTGAAAAGCCCTTCATCATAAAATGCCATTTCACCAACGCTGGATATTGGACCACCTGACCATGGGAGCATTTTAGAACTTAAACTATTTCAAGTGCTTCAGGGATTTTGGATACCTGGGACACAGTGATGTGTAAGCACAATGAGACTGAATCCAACTGTCTGTTAGCAAGACTGGAGTCTCAGCTGACTGAAACTCCACCCATAATTTTGCACTTCAGATAAGCCAGAGAGGAAAGGACAGGCTGGGCTGGGTCTGGAGCTCAGGGAATGGAGAAGGGGTTGTGCCTGGACAGACTCATACAGAGCGGGGTTATGATCCCTGAGCCTCCAGCTCTGATGCAGGGGTGTTATCTGGCTCCTCATCATTGTAGATATTCTCCGCCTGGATGAACAGGTAGAGAAAACAAAATAGGCAAGGATTAATGGTACATACTCACTTTCCTTCAAGCTCACAGTAACCTCCAGCCACTATATATGTGAAAGTCTGGTAAAGAAAAGCAGCAGGCACCTCTGTAATAATACTGACACATTTCTAGCTAAAGATGCTGTCTGTTTGGCCATTCTATCGCAAATCATTAGGGGTTTGAACAAAAATATTGCGAGCTAGCCTCATCCAATTAGAGCAGACTTCAGAAGTTTCAAAGTGTTTATGCAAATACAACTAAGAAAATGTAAATTTTTAGTATGAGTATACTTTTCATTTTCTGACCCCACTTTGTGGGTTGGAGAAACAGATTGAAATTTTGTTTTGCCAATTCTACTTGTTGAATTCATATAATCATTGAAAGAGATGCTTAAACAGAATCTTAAACAGTTACTATAAATATACATGTAGNCAATTTAGAATCACCAATTAACCTCAACATGTTTTTGGACTGTGTGGGAGGAAGCCGGAGAACCCGGAGAGAACCAGTGCTGCACAGGGAGAACATGCAAGCTCCACGCAGAAAGATCCCGGGTGTCCTCACCGGGACGCGAACCAGTGACCTTCTAGCTGTGAGGTGACCGTGCTAAACACCGATTCACCTTGCAGCCCTTTTTTAAATCAGAAACGATGCATATTTAAAATTATATTTGTGAAATTTTAGCTTGATATGTCAAATGCTTTATAATTATAAAAAAAACTAAAAACAAACAAAAAAACTACCTGCCGACCAACTTTGGGCACGTTTTTCTCATGCATTGAAATTAGAGGCTATGTTTGAACCACAATATCTCAGGAAATACTGTATTAAAGATATAAGCTAAACGTGAAGAAAGATAAAAAGTCATTTTCACTGCTCTAGCTCTTCATGCCATTGATTCAGAATCTGCAATATTATACAAGTAGATCAAACAGTCAGATTATGGTTGATTTGAAATATGAAAAAAAGTCAAGCAGTCAATAAAAGTCCCATCTTTACGTGCACATTAACAAAACAGTTGACAATGCAGAAGTTAGTGATATTTTCTGAACCATGTGTAGTTGCATGTTAATAATGAACTTTCCCAATTGATTGAATAGGTATGAAAAGTTGTACCACTAAAACAAAAATATTGCGAGCTAGCCTCATCCAATTAGAGCAGACTTCAGAAGTTTCAAAGTGTTTATGCAAATACAACTAAGAAAATGTACATTTTTAGTATGAGTATACTTTTCCATTTTCTGACCCCACTTTGTAGGTTGGAGAAACAGATTGACATTTTGTTTTGCCAATTCTACTTGTTGAATTAATCATTGAAAGAGATGCTTAAACAGAGTCTTAAACAGTTACTATAAATATACATGTAGTCACACTTTAACTTTCTGCACATAGTCCAGCTTGTGACATTTCAGTTCCTAATGGTACACGGAGCAAAAGAACCCAGTTTGATCCTATCAGTTTCCACAATGATCATGAGAGTAAGTTCACTACTGAAGTATTGCTTATACAAGTACATAATGATTACCATTAAATATATATCAGGACATGAACATTTCCCACTGGAAAAATCCCACTATCCCAGCAAATCAATGTGTTTGGTCATGGTTATATTATGCTGATGTCATCCTAATAAATTACTGCAGTGAAAATTCACAAAGAAATTACACAAAACTACACGACAGACATCCTCCAAACCAAGGATTATGCCTACAAAGTGAGGTCTAAAAATGTATTTTGTTCCTCTATAAATGTGCCAGAATACTGTTCTACTTGAATGAGGCTATCTAGCAATATTTTTGTTTTTGTCATACATCTTATGATACCTCAGTTATGAAAGTGAAAATAAACTTTTTCAGTTTTGCGATCAAATATTTAATAATAAAAAGTAAATATATTTCCATGATCATTGTACAAACTGATTAAAATGGTCAATCAAAATAGATTCTCTTGCTTTGTTTTCCATCGGGAATAAACCTGGCCTTTTAGACCAATGTCACAAGCTGGACTATGTGCAGAAAGTTACAGTTTAAGCATGTGCATGTTCATATTAACTGTTAAGAATTTTACCTTCAAGCATCTCCTCCAATCATTTATATGAATTCAGTAAGTATAACAAGTAAGGCAACAGTTCAAACTGTTTCTCCAGTCTACAAAGTGGGGTCTGAAAACTAAAAATATATCCAAATAAAAAAACAGATACAGTGCTCAACAAATTTATTCGCCCAATGTAAGGTATATGCCACAGCTGCCCTAAATGGACAGCATTGGTAATTACCAAGATCTTTTTCATGTTTCTTTAATGGTTAATACACCAGTAAAATATAATTACTATTCTTATCCATGAATTTTCAAAATGTATTGTTTTACAAATGAACAGACAAAATTGTAGAGCACATTATTATTTCTTGATTAAGATGTCAAATTATGTTTATTTACTTACATTTCTGAACAGAAATTAATGTTTTAGTGGCTGAATGTTGAGCATGATTAATTTCTGACTTGTCAGAGAAGCCCAGTGAGCCGGCTCAGATTTGGGAATAAAAAGATGAATTCAGTTTGAAATTCCTCATTCCTGTTCAAAGTGCTTAAAAGTTGAGAGCTCACTGAAAATGAAAGAGTCCGCATTAAAGAGCTTCATGATGCTGGACGGTCTCTGAGACAAACAGTTAAACACATCAAGTGTTCTCACAGTATGGTCAAATGTGCTTTGGAGTCAATTACCGAGACTGGTACCTACAAAATGCACCAAGGAAGAGGCAGGAAACAAAAGTTATCTGAAGCAGATACAGATACCTCAAGATTTTAAGTAACAGCGACAGAAGGAAGACCACTGCTGATCCATCCATCCATCATCTATACACCACTTAATACTCACTAGGGTCGCAAAGTCCAGATTTAAATCCTATTAAACAAATTTGGTATGTAGTACATTCCAAGATTGACTGCACACAAGTTTTATCTAAAGCAAGTCTGTGGGAACATCTAGAAACTATTTGGAACTCAGTAACAAGAGAGACTGTCAAAAAGTACATAAAAATAATGACAGAAAGAATGCAGGCTGTTATCAAGGCCAAAGGAGGCCATAAAAAACATTTAAAAAATTTATTATGTGTGAAAAAGAACTATTTAGTTGTTTCAGTTTGTTATTTGCCAAATAAAATAACATTTTTAGTTTTAAACAAGTTTTTGAAAGACTTCTAACATATTGATGTTTTCACATTTTTATGACAAGTGGTCTAATAAATTCGTAAAGCATTGTGTTTTCTTAGTTATATTTGGAGAATCACTCTGAAACTACAGAATTATGTTCTACTTGGATTAGGCAATATTTATGTTTTTGTGATCCACCATGCCGTACCTGCTCAATCAGTTATTAAAGTTCAATGACAATAACTTTGTAAAGTATTTTATATGAACAAGTAGTCTATATGTTTTGCTTTGTATTATTGTGACATGCAACTACATATGGGTCAGAAAATATCACTGGCTGACTTCTGCTTTATCAGCTTTTTTGTTCATGTGTGCTCATTCATTGGACTTCACTTTGACTTTACTTTCTTTTCATTTTTTTTAATTCACTCATAATCAGAGACTATTTGATTTGCTTTTTCAATATTGCAGATTCCGCATCAACGACGTGATGACAAATAACTTTCAAAAAATCTATTTCAATACATATCCAGCTTGTTCAACAAGGAGCCTGTTGATGCTTCTACCAAGCACTGCAATTTCTAAAAGAGATCTCACTAGCTATTCCATTGTGATTACCCACTCTCCCCTCACCTCAGTCTAAAATCCCACTGAATGTACCATGCATAATTTCACATTTAAAATATCTTCACATTGTGACATCACAAAAAGAAAAAGTGGGTGCAATGAGTTGCAGTTGTATTCACCATCTGCCAGACTTGCATGATATTGTCCTCAGATACTGAGCAGATGATCCATGGTTCATTGGGGTTCCAGGAGAAGTCGGAGATCTTGGCTGTGTGGCCACCATGGATGAACTGATGGGAAAAGATAAATACGTAAACTGACCAGCAGGATGCCATAACCATCCAGCCTATGAATCTAAAAGTTCAGTGCTTTAAACTTACTAGTAACATCTGAGAAACTGTCTCACTCTATTCTGTTCTTATGCAGGTAAAATCACAATGACCAACCAGCTGATGTGATGTATTATTAGATACATGCAGACAGGTGCACCCAGGGAAAACCATCTGACATTTACAGGCTCTTCCATCACATTACATGTAGAGCTGTTTGTGCTAAAGTATAGAATGGTTTTATGGCAACTGACATAATAAGAGCTTCAGTTGGTACTGAAAGGTCAAAAGCTGAATTTGACTAACACCATGCAATAACAGCACCTACCAGGAGCTCTGGTGGACCATCCTCAGCATCTTCTGCAGACTGCTCCTCCCCGATTTTACTAGAAAACAAAGACCAACAAATCCTGAGTCAATTTGACACAGATTATGAGTTGATGAACATCATGGTGCTTTTAGCAGATTTAGCCCCAGTGATTTCTCTCTGGAGGACGTAGAGACCAAAAAAAAACAAACCTAAAAGAGAGAGACTCTTGGACACAAACACCATTCCAAATGATGAACATGTTTCTTTGTAACTGCTGGATGTGGTAATGAGCTGCTGTTTGTTTACAAGTTTAACAGTTTAACTTAGAAGCTCATGCTGTGCCAATTGTTGCGTTTGCTACTTGTTTCTTCTTCATTAAAGGCTATTAACATTATTGATCTGTAATCTGAAAGCACCAGTTTAGTTCCAACATTTTGTTACGTGGCTAATATCAGAGTCAAAAACAGTTTATTTCCAGAAACAATTCTAAATGTTGAAATGGTGCAGCATTATTAGGTCATGTAATCAGTCTGCAACATAACAGTAAAAGCCTTTTCATCTTTCCAGAGCACAACAAAATATCAATACTTTCTAAGATTGCCTGCTGTGTTCTTAACCTATGCAGGAAACAAATATCTTCACACAAAAAAGCCAGTCCCTGTTTGTTTTTTTGTTTTTTGTAAATAAGTGTATTAAGGGATAAAGAGGTAAAGAGGACAGTTTTTACCTGAGATCCCACACATTGAGACGTCGGTCAGTGCCACTGGAGGCCAGGATTGTCTCATTGTGAGGAGACCATTGTACCTAATGAATAGAAAAGGTAGTCAATGGCGTTCAATGTAGTGCTTAGATTGCAGCATGGACTGACAGTAAAAATCTCCCCGGGCTTGGCAGCACTTCAGAAACGTATTGAATGATTTAAAGGTCCAATATTGTGTCCATTTTTTCCAATTATTTCCAGTCTTGTGTGTTCCCTGGATGTGTATTTCAAGTTTTAGCTCAAAATACTGCTAAGATGTTTCATTTCACTATGACTGTATAAGCCCTGGTTTCAGCCTTGTTCTGAGCATGATCTTAAAATCTCTGTAACTTTAAATGCTGCTGAGTTGCTGCCATCCCCACCCTGTTCAGTAAGAAGACTCTCTGCATCAGTGATTTACAGTGCAGAGCAAAGCAGTTGACGATGACTACTCGTTCCATTGTCTGACAACAGTAACAGGAACCTATACAGTTGAGAACAGCTTTATTGGAAACTAAACTGTACTAAAATGCAGTGTATGCAAACAAAAGTCTACATATACTTGTAAAGACCATGTATATTTTGGCAGTCTTGAGTTTCGATTGACTCCTATAGCTCTTAATTTTCCACAATGGAAACCCTGTCTTCAAGATGGCACCGTGGATGGCTGCCTCAGTGTATTGGTGCATTTTGTTTTGTCTTGTTTTGTTACACAGCTGTTTTGTTGCAGTACCTGCAGCTCTTTCACCAGGAAAGAGCTGCTAAACCGCAGGGAAATAACATCAGTGGATGTATTTCCAACTATTCTTGTTACTTTAATGGAAATATTGGACATGCTGGTCAAAGCTGCACCCACCTTTGCTCACTAGGTAAAACATCAGAGAGGTAATCGACTCAGTGCGTTTGCCCGTCTCGGCAAGAGTGGGCTCCGCACTGTGCTTTTGGGGGTATTTTTCTCCAGCGTGCATTTACTGTGCAACAAACTGAACGAACTTCAGCTACGAGTGGTTAAGAACAGAGACTTTCCTTCTGCTCCTACTTTATGCTTCACATGCTGTGTGGATCGATACCGGACTGCACTACACTTGGCGGGCTTCCAATTCTTCACAGCGGATCGTCACTCAGAACTCTCCAGTAAATGTAAGGACAGAGCAATCTGTTGTTATATCAACAGTGACTGGTGTAATGATATGACAGTGATTCAGGAATACTGCACTCCAAATCTGGAATCTTTTTTGATCAACTGCAAACCTTTCTTCTCCCTGTGTGAGTTTGCTTCATTCACACTGGTTGGAGTTTATGTTCTACTGCACGCCAACGTGCAGGGGGCACAGCACATGCTTGCCGACAAGATACTGTGTGTGGAGTGGACATACCTAGACTCCTTAGTTATTGTCCTTGGTGACTTTAACAAATGTAATCTCACCCTCAAACTTTATAAGTACATGTGGTTTATTAAAGGCCCCATGAGAGAGGAGAACATTTTGAATCCCTGGTGCACTACGGTGAGCAGGGCCTACCACGTTGTCCCTCGTACTACACTGGAACACTGACCACATCATGGTCCATCTGATTCCCATACAAAGGCAGAAATTAAAACTCGCGAAGCCTCTTGTGAGAACATGAAAGAAGTGGATCCATGAGGTTGTGGAAGTTCTTCAGGCATGTTTGGATTGGACTGACTGGGATGTATTCAGGACTGCTACCAACAGTCTGGATAAGAACACAGAGGCTGTGACACCTACATCAGCTTCTGTGAGGACTGCTGTGTGCTGTAATTACTTATATGTTACTTTGTCTCTTTTCATACAGAATAGAATAGAACAGAATAATTTATTGATCCCCATTGGGGGAAATTTACAATTTATGTATGGGAGCAGTATTAGAAGTACTGAGGTCAGTTGTCATTTCCATGGCCAGTTTTCATTGTATTAAATTATGTACATATTGGTGTTACAATATCAAAATCAAACTTCAGCTTTTGTAGGGTGGCCTAATATCCAGTGTTTGACAGACAGATTTGGTCCATGGGCTGCAATTTGTCACCACAGCCAGATTCTTAGTGCCCTACTGCCATCTAAAGTTTCTACTGAAAGTTCTAGTTGGTCACAGTCAGACTTTGACTACAAGTGGATCTATAAAGTCACTGCATTCACAGCATTATTATTGTATCTAATGTTCCCATTACATTTTTTTTTCACCATAACTAATTTTCCGCACCAAGCTGGGTGTTATATAGAACAATACTCGTACAGAGCTCCTCTGAACTAAAAAACTAACAACCTTAAAATTCTGTATAGAGAATGTTGTGTTTTTACAGCACTTCGGGTTCTTACCCACAATATAAATTCTTACCTGGAAAATTTCATCTTTATGGGACTCAAAGGAGTGGAGCTTTAGTTTAAGGTTCCTTAAATCCCACAATGCAACGGTCTGAGAGAAACAAAACAAACATTTTTCTTCAACTTTGTTAACGTTGTTATTATTAGCCTGAAAGGAGTATTTTTGACTCTTTCCTACCTTATCAGCAGAACCAGTGGCAAGAATAAACTCGCTGTAGGGGTTGAAGCTCAGACAATTAACCTCAGCAGTGTGAGCATCTACTGAGTGGCTGGCTTTCGATGTGTTGTTAGATCGAGTGTCCCATCTGGTGGAGCATGAAGGAGGGTTAGAGCCAGCATTTATTTGGTTACAAATAAAACTGAAACTGAACATTTTTTACTCAATTAATCTATCATTTCCATTTACAAAAAAAAGAAAGAAAGAAAAGAAAAAAGACTACCTACGTACATATGTTCTCACTTACATCATTAGTTTCTGATCGTCAGCAACTGAGCCAAACAGGGATTCATGGAGCAAATGCCAGGAAACATCTTCCACCACTGCTGTGTGGCCAGTGAAAATGGTCTTGGCATCCACTATCTTCCCTTCTTTTGGGCCGGCCCCAATGTCCCATAGACAGATGGTCTAGAGAGGATTAGAAGAAGGAACATAACCCATTATCTATCTTTGTGCAACACTGGTCTGAGCTCTGTCAGATTTATAACAGAGATGTTTAAAGTTGAGAGCAAAATTCAAAATATGTTGTCATCAGCAGCATTCGCATTAAAAAGTTATGCTAACATTTTGAAGTCAGGCCTCATTCAAGCATTTCCAAATTTCAGATTTTTTTTCCACCAAAGAAAGAAAACATTCAGTCCTTTTATGATATATCTAGCTTTGGAATTAACGATCAGACCACTGTGAGCCCTATTTTCTGCCTCGTCCTTTGTGGTTCTAGGTGAAGCCACACTGCATTATATTTTTAAAGTTTTCATGGACAGCTGTTTTGCTGATTAGTAATGATTCTCTATGTATACCTCTTTATACAGCAGCAAGGTTGTTGTCTTCTCGTCATCTCGCAATTCTCTTGTTTTAGGAACGAAGGGATAATTTAGTTTTGATTATCTGTCTGTACTTTTACATGTACAGATTATGCACAAAATAATTGTGGCTTAAAAATGTTTTCAGGTGGTCTAATAATTATTTCCAAAGCTGAATGAAAAACTGAATTTACAGTCTATTCCATTGTTTTTTGTCCAGTAGTCGTATTACATCCATCACACTGAGAAACCATATTTTGACTGCAACAAAATATTAAGATATTGCAGCTATTTGGCAGCATGTCCTGTTGACTCAGTGTATAATTAAAAAAAAGATTCACTACTCAAGATTGGGCTAACTGTCAAACAAACAAAATAGCAACTAGTGTGCTGAGATCAGCGTTCTAATGTATCTGTTATAGTCTTTGAACTCTCAACAGCAAAAAGTGTTCCAACAGTAGAAAATTTTGAGTGACCATAAATTCACACCATTTTGTAACACTGTTCCTTTTCCTCCTATAAACCAACGATGTGTTTTGTAACAAATCGTTATTTTAGATTTTATTTTTTATTTTTTTCAAATCAGCTGCTTCACAATGTTTCCATGTACCCCATGGCATCTGTACCCTTGTTTGAGAATTACTCCATACCGGGTAAGGGTCTAAAGCCTCAATCCAGACCAATTTCTACATAACTGGTAAAGTTAAAGTTACTAAAGAAGTAGCAAAAGAAATGGAATTGGCAGCTGCATGGAAAAATTATGATACTGATGCACAATAGTGAAAAATATCGCAATACATTTTCTTAGGTACTATACTTAAGTACTGCTACTTGACTTGAATACTTCCAGTTTATACTATTTAATATCTGTGTACATTTCAGAAGGAGAAATGCACTTTTTATGTCACAGCTGTGATCATGATCCTAAATATAAAACATCAGCAGCTAATACAATGTTGTGACACTACCTATAATGAAATGAAAACAAACATCCACTGGAACCTGGTAAAACATTAAAATGCTACTTATACAGTAATGCACATTTAAACTAATAATGTAGGAGCTAATCTGCTCAATGAATACTTATACTAAAGAAGCATTTATATTCAGCTGTAAAAATCTTTTGAATTCTACTTTACTACACATCTTCAGGACTTGTACAAGCTAGTATTAATACCTTGCTGAATAATTTCAAAACTTCATTCACCATTGCAGGAGTATGTTTGGGAAAAATGAAGGAAAAGCAATGCATACAAATTCATTCAGACTTTCAGCAAGTGTATGATAACTATGATCTATGGACCGCTTACGTCACAGACTGTGTATGTAATCACATCAGCTTTAAAATTTACTCTGCCTGCAGTCTGAATAAACCTTTGGGGCTTCCTTTCTGGCATCTTCTCCTATGCCAACTGGATAACCAGTAAATGACGGTCCTGCTGGGTTTCCGTTCTAGTCCCTTACATGGTCATCAGACGCACTAAGTAGGTTGCCGCTGCGGTTTAGGTTCCAGGAAAGGCCATATCCTTCTTTCTGGTGGCCTTTCAGCCTCAAGTCAGGACTACACTCCCCACTAGGATCTGAAACACACAAATACAAGCTGCATTTATTTTCTGATGTGTGTTACTGGAGTGTGCGTATCTGGATACTTGTCGTTATAAGTGAATCAGGAACAGCAGTGATCCAACCTGGCTTTGATGGGTGTTTAGTATAGTCGAAGACCAGCACGTCAGAGGTGGGAGTCTTGGTAGCAATGATGCAGGGATTCTGGGGCATGTAGCGTGCTCGGTTCACCTCTCCCTCATGGTTGATCTTGATCTCAATCTCTATCTTCCCACTGACTGAACCAAATCCACCAAACTCTGATGAAACAGGACAATCAGACTTCAAAACATCAAAAATTGCAAATGGACACAAGACATTTGACAACTGCAGTTTAAACCTTGCTTGTGACTGATAAATAAGCTGCTGAATAATCTGAAGTGATAAATAAAAGAAGTGTTGTTTTTGTTTTGATAATTTAACTTTATTTGATTATGTGGAGGCAGAATCAAAACACCACCTCCGTTATCAATGTGGATTTTTGCTTCTCTGCTACCTGTGATAGTTCCTGTTCGCACAATGGTCAAGCTAAGCTCCCCAAACACAGCAGATAGTAGTTCAGAACAGAGGCCACAGTTACAGTCACACTAAACAGACAACTGTTTTAAAAAAAAAAATCCATAACAGTGCATCTCTGTATTTTATATATCTGAGAAGTTACTGTTTGGGCATTCCTTTTTCAATCAGCGCTCATCAGGACTAACAGCTGATGAGGTTGGTATTCAATTCAATTCAATTCAATTCAATTTTATTTGTATCGCGCAGTTTACAACATATGCCATCGCATAGCGCTTAATGTATGGTGCTAAATGCTGTATTTTCTGAAAAAACAAACAAACAAAAACTTAATGTTTGTATACTAAAGCTAGTCACCAATTTGACAGTTGATCTCAGAGTGAGTGTTGAAGACAACTGTGTTTAAACAAACTTTAAGAGCAGGACAGCAGGAGAGAAGAGAAAGACGGACCAATATGTGGGAAACCATCACTTTACCACTTTACTCTAATATGTGTGTTACACGACTGATTTTTAGATTTGCACTGTACCTTAAAACTGTTCTGGGGCCATGTTAACATAGTAATACTACCTCTGGTAACAGATGAAGGGAGCAGTGAGCCTTCAGCACACCTACACACAGCCAGACACCTATCAACATACCTGCTGGAAGACAGCAGAAAAATGTTTAAGCATACAGACAGATATGAACATGACTTAGATGATCAACTCATTAAAAGGGCTGGATGAAAAGCAGCAAATAAAGAGACGGAAGATTTCAATGACCCCTAAAATCCTTAGCTTCATCTTTGCATTTGGCCTTTTCTCAGTAACCCATTCCCAAAACCATTACGTCTGTATACTAAAGCTAGCAACCAATTTGAAAGTTGATCTTGGAGTGAGGGTGTGCAGGCAGCTAAGTTCAAACACAATGTAAGAGCAGGACTTGTTCACCAGCAGAGGAGAGGAGAGACTCACTACATGTAGACTGTGGGTACAAACCTGCTATTGGCTGCATCCCCTTCGGCTATCTGTGTGCTACTATTTTGACAATCGTTTTTGCTTCGTTAAGTAACAACGTCAGCAACTTACACATTGACAATGGCAAGATTTAACAAAGATTTGGATCATGTGATAAGGCAGGCTACTTGGGTATTACAGTGACGAGATGTAAAGATCTACAAAGATGTTTACAACTTCTGTTCACAGCTAGTCTTTACGACTACGTTTACATTTATGAAGGGCTGCACGATGAAAATGTCATTATCACAGGGTATACCAGAGTCATGAGGCTCTGGTTTCATGTCCACACACATTACATTTTTTTGTTTTGCCACTACACTACAATTGCACAAACTTCGTATGTGCCAGAAAACCAAAATGTGCCAATTTGATGTGATTCCTAGTGTACATGCAAAGAATACATAGGATTTTCCATGCTAATTTTTGACCCTCCATCGAAGGCTGTCCAGTTTATTGGGCTGCTTAGCTGCTAAGCTACCTCCTCCTCTGGGATCTCCATGTACAAAAGCCAGCCCAGGGCAGAGTTGACATATCCAGCTGTCTAGGGTGCAAAATGTCTGGGGGCACCAGTTTGTTTTTCTATTCAAAAGTAATAATTATCCCTAATATTTCATGTATAATTAAAGATCAATCATGACCTAAGAGATGAGTGATTACTGAATCATTATTGTGGGCATAAAAGTTTCCCATACTATGTTGGAAGATTCATCTCTGATCAATAAGTAACTTAAGTAACAAAATATGGCAACAGATAGAGATTTTACTGGACCGTAAGTTTCTGTAGTTTGATAAATTCTCATAATACATAAACTGAAATTGTAATGTGTGGTAAATCGTGAATAGGGAGGAATAAATATTTTTGTTTATTAAATGTCCAGAAATACCAGAAAAATACATAGATTTTTTTTCAATAGGGTCACATACAGTCATGGTCTTTACTGCATATGGACCAATTGTGCCGATCATCATGCATAGCCACCCGCAAAGTCTATCGTGATCTACTGCATATCTATTGAACATGGCCTCTAAGTGGACTCCAAACGGACTAGAAAGTAGTATAATAAAAACAACAACACATCTGCTTTGTATGTAGCTGTCTGTTAGAGGATATAACCGTGGCCAGAAAGACATGTTCTTGCATGTTTGTCCATCATTTCCATGCAAGCTGCCCAATCACCATTTTGCAGGGGAACTGTTACTGAATCCTGGGATTATTGCCATCTAAGACAATTGTGACTAAATCATTGAAATCAAATTAGGAGATTGGTGGATCAGTGTTGATATCCAGCCCTATTAATAGAGTCCTGGCCATATAAAATGTCTTCACTTGTTTCTGACATGAACAATGCCTGCAAGAACAAGTGCCAAGTAAATTCAATTCCCTTCAAGGTTTCAGTATATTCTAAGAAATGTATTCTGCTCCATAACAACTGCAGGATGTATTTACCTCCTTTCTCACTGTCGTAGTGGGAGGCATCAAACTGGGCATCATCATTTGGTACCTGGACACTTGCAATCACAAGATGGTTCTGCTCATCTGATGTATGGGTCCCCAAAACCAGCCTGTGGACAGCGTAGTCCTTCCCCTCCGGCCTGCAGACAACATGGACAAAGGTTTAATGTATAGCCAACAGCAAAGATAATTTTATCTTTTCAGTTTAACATTTGAGTAGGTCTTGATGTAAAAATTGACTGGAATGCCTGTTTTTAAATTTCCAAGATGAATGACTTGCTTGTACTGGTCCCAGTCCAATAATCAGAGTCAGTTAAGTTAGGAAGTAAATTCAGTTAAAAAGTACCTTTTTTTTTTTTTTTTTTTTTAAGGTTCAGCTGCTTTCTCACTGGGCTGCAAGGTGGCTTGGTGGTTAGCACCGTCACCTTGCAACTAGATCCCCAGTTCACGTCCTGGTTAGGACACCTGGGATCTTTCTGCGTAGAGTTTGCATGTTCTCGCCGTAAAGTGTGGGTTCTCTCCAGGTTCTCCAGCTTCCTCCCAGAGTCCAAAAACATGTTGAGGTTAACTGGTGATTTTAAATTGCCCTCAGGTGTGGATGTGAGTGTGTTTGGTTGTCTGTCTCTAAGTGTAGCACTGTGATAGACTGGTGACCTGTCCAGGGTGTCCCCTGCCTTGACCCTAAGTCAGCTGGGATAGACTCCAGCCCCCCTGCGACCCTAGTGAGGATTAAGCAATGTTTTCGCACTCTTTTCTGCAGTGAGTGGTCAATGCAAAACAGCTTACAACAATGAAAATCAAGATAGCTTAAGTTTTCTAAAGTTGACCTGTATTAAGCTCAGCCACCAATTTTCTTCTACTTGCTTTTTTTTCTTTGCTTCACTTCGTTCAGATTTTTTATTTCAGCAAAAACTGAGCTTTTTGCAAAAGAAAGACCTGCCTAGTGATGGTAGGATGCTGTGGGTTCCTCATTCTAATCTCATATTTTCACTGTTAAAAGAAAAGGTAGGCCATGTTTTTGGCATAATTGGGGAAAAAAATCCCATATTAAACTTCACACATATTGTAATTTAAGTGGTTTGAAAGGAAACTACAGTTCTGCATCTCCTTCTGGCACCGTTTTCTTAAAATTTTAAATCTCGCCTGTAACTTGAGATTTTAGCCTATTACTGGTCTCTTCACCGATCAGATTAGTTAGTACAAACTGCAACAAAGTCTACGTTGAGAACAGAATGTGGTGGCATAATATATTAGACAGCAGACTGCTTCTCAGGAGTATATGGTGCAACGGCACTTGGTGTCAAAATTTTGAATAACACACACTTCCACACAGACCTTGGTTGAGTTCCCTTTGTTTATTTATGTTTTTACATATATTTATTAAAAATGGCATTTTTCAAAATTTGTTCCGCAGTATTGATAGACTCATGACATATAACTAATCAGAAAGTGCTACATTTGTCAGGTTTCTGCATTCTGTAGCTTTAATGCAACCAGCCACACAACAGAGCTCTTGGCATGAACCTGTAATAACAGATGTCTTGTGATGATCATAAAATAATGATGTGATGAGCACAGTAGCTTAAGAATGACTGCCTAGTAAGTATAGGAGGTGTAATGAACATTTTGTAGTAACAACAATAAGGAAATGAAAACATCAGTGTGATATCTGCGGTATCAAAATGAAGTATAGGCTGTCACAGAAAGCAGGAAGGAAAAGACACTTAACAGGCGGACAAAGTAATGGGCTGAGTCAAGAGTGAACCAAGAGAAATGAGGAGAGAAAGATTTCAGAAAAACTTTTGCAAAAAGAGTGGCAGGTTGTCAAGACATTAGGCTAGTTCTCTGAGTACTGTACAGCCACATGCAGTGGACAGCGGTCGCAGCCCCAAGACGTGCGGCTGTTAACATTGCTTATGGAACTTAAATCACATTTTATGAATAGTAAGACTGAGACATATACCTGTTGACATCCGGAAGCCACTGGACAGTAAGGCTGGGCCACTCCAGCGCATGAGTCATCACCAGGTCGTACAGAAAAGGTGTGTTTTTCTTCCAAATCTTGTATTCTTCATTGATGACCCTTTCCTCCACTGCATCATCATACACTTAAGCAGGGCAACATGGAATAAGTTACTGGTATAAGTGCAAATAATATTAGCAACTTCATATTTTTCTCCTCCACATTTTTACACAAGTCACTGAAGCACACGCAAATACGGTAACGCTACGGTAACGTACGGTAACTGCTGGCCAATGCACAGCCAGATTAGAGCAGTTCAAACATTGTGCTCTGCTCAGGGATTACTGTTTAAAAACATGCATACACGTGCTTGCATCAACGTAACATTATTTACATTCATTGATAAAACACTGATTAAGAAGTTGGAGAGCAGCTGGGATGTAGTTTGAATTATCCTCCGTTGGTTCTGACTGGGTTTCTTGCACGCTTAACACCTACTACGCCGTGTATTGGTGGAGGTAGGAGTAGCAGCGTAACAACAGACAGTTTATTAAGTTGAAATAAATGCTGTTTGGTGCATTGACTGTATGCTAAACCTAAATAACAGATGCTTGACGGAACGTTCTCTTCAAAATGTACAACAAAGAACAGTACACAGGCTGTATAGAACCAGTAAGTATCCTGACAGGACTTTACTTAGCTAGCATGCCATGCTAGTAGTGAACCCCATGACAGAGTTAAACGGCCTTACTGCGCACACAAAAAGCAGCACACGAGGGAAACATGCAACCGCTTTATACGTTAGGTAGTGTTATTACACCTACCCTCTTTGTCAGCCATGTTGCAAACTCTGCACTCTGCCACGAGGTGCGAAAGCAAAGCAACCAGGTGGATGTTGTTCTAGTTAATAGTATTGTTACCCAGGCGTACTGTTTCGATTATGTCGCTGCTAAACTGTGGTCCTTCCTTTTCAGCGCCGAATTACTCGGCGCGAACTGCGCACGCGTCATTCCAAGCATACTAACGAGGAACAACAATGCGCGCGGACTACGCAGACAGACGGTGACGTTCTCCAGCCGGAGCGCAGCAGAAAATAAAGAACAGCAATACAGCAAATGTTAGTGTGCTCATGCACATTACTTTTTGCCACTTGGACAAAAATAAGAAGAAGCTACATATTTAGAATACACAATAGAAATTACAAAAATAAAAGTAGCCAATTAGGTAGACACTATAACAGAAGTCAGTACAGCTCTGTGTAATCACTGTAATGTCAAATCTTACTAAACTGGATCATTTTACAATAATTGCATTGCTTCTAAGTTGAACACTATTTTCTTCTATGTAAATTTAAAAACTAACAGTCTCGATTTACTATCTTGAAAACGTTTTCTAACTTCTGTGTCATTGATCACAAGTGTACTCCCTTTTTTGCGTTGACTTTCTTCTTTGCAAACTGTACTTTCAACACAGTCTTTCTGAAGCATGTGTTTTTGATTGTTCATAAGAAGAAATGCTTTACTTGTCAACTTAGAGATTACAATTTTAAAGCATTTGACATTTAAGTGATATTGCGCAATGGTATACTCAGTTCTGTTTTGCACGCTATGTAACCACATTGTATTAATTGTGCTACATTATATTGTGCAGAACATGATATATATTTATACATTCATGCACTGTTTGGCATTATATTCTGAAGTTGATGATTTTGTCCCAGTAGTGCTCAGAATGTCACAGTGGGAACGTTTCTCGTACTATTTTTTGGTTGTTAGTTTTGTGGTGAGAATGTGTAATGAGCATTACAGTCTCGCTATGCATTCCAATGAGTATATTTTGTAAAAGTCTCGTTCATAAACAGTTAAAACGGTTTACAGTAAATTACAAACCTTGAAAATGCAAAACATTTTCCAAATACAAGCATAACAAAGATTTGAAGGAAATAAAACAAACAAACAAACAAAAAACGAGTGAACATACAGAAGGTGTGTCTTAATCAACTATCAATAAAAAATAAGTACTCTATATCTCATGACAAGAAGAGTGGAGGCAAATAAAGGCAACTGGCACAAAGTCAAAAGAATGAGCAGTGAGGAGTAAACGCAGGAGACAATGATAGATTTGGCATTTTCAAAAAGACTGATCACACTATAAAGTATGAAACCATTGTCACAGCTCTGTTTCTTTACAAAATTAATATGGTTTAGTTTAATTAGGGGTTTAGACATTTAGACAAGGCAACAGAGAAAAGTGGATTATGTATTAAATTCCTCCAACTCCACTGCATACCATCAAATATATGATTTTAAACTAAGATCCAATGGCCACTTTCATAAAATAATAATCTGAGTAAAACAGCAAAGCATGCCACTATAAAAAGCTTTGAAATATACAGTGATCTATTTCACAGATACACAGAAGAACAGATGTATCACTTTTCCATAAAAAGATGAGCTGTTATATAGAGCAGTCCTAGTAGAATAGTGGTCCTATATTCTACAACAAAAGTAAAATATACAGATATAGTTAATAATGAGTTACAATGTGTAACCCAGTTGTGCACAACACTCCATACATTTATCTATGTATTTCCATTCATCTTTTTTTGGTTACATAAAAGAGTAACATATAGTGTGATGGATAGTGTTTGACAGTTACTGATTTTTTCCATAAGTCACTCCCATAATTATCATTGTAAAAAAACTATTTCAAGCTACAACTAGAGTGATCAGTACACTGCAATACCCAACATATACCATGGATGGTAGTAGAGAATATATATGGAGGTCTTATCAAATGCATTTGTACACAGTGACAGGTGATAGTGAGTAATACAATACAGTTAGGTATGCACGGCCAGTATAAATACTGTTTGATGACTATCTACACTATGTGTGATTGTGAAGTACTAGGAAGAACACGAGTCACCCCAAACCCGTTTTATCTGGCCTAAATGTGACATGTAGTGACAGGATAGTATTACATCATGTCACATATTGAGTAGAGATGCACCAATACTGTATTTTTAATGTGACACAGATTCCACAAACTACTGTAAAACTTACGTTTAGAGTACATATAATAAGTCCCTTTTTGACAATAATTAAGGAGGCAGTAAGTAATTGTTTTTACTTTCCCATAACACAAATGCATAAAACATATGTAAGGTGGGAAGTGACAGGTTTGTGGATGAATACCAGTGACCTATTAAGCGAAGCAGGCATTTTACACCCTGTTTATGAATTATGGAGCTTGAATTATTACACCAAATAATGTAAGTGGCTAATTATTGTAAAGAAGTGTCCATGTTAATATGTTCAATTGACAGCTAGTGATGAGGCTGTTTTTCTACTAGCATTCGTCATTTGTGCCATTTCCTATCCTTTGCAGGGCTCCATACTAACTTTTTCACTGGTAGCACCGGTGCGAAAATCTTGTCACAGGCAAAACATATGACTTGCTGAACATGTTCTTGTCGATAGACTCTATAATTTACTGATGTTTCCTCAACGCTCCACTTTGCAGGCTGTGGTAGCTGCTGTTTGTATCTGTGGTGTGCTCAGACAGGTGCACTACCAAAAATTACTTTGTAAAAGATTAAACTAGGGCATTCTAATTGAATTTCCCTTCTGGGATAAATAAAGTATTTTTCATTTCATTTCATTTCATTTCTAATGTCAGATTTGTCCAAGATGAAATCAAGTGATTTTTTCAACATGGGGTCTTTTCTATGAGCACAAAAACAGCGCATGTAGATGCGCTCTGTAAATACGTAAAAACAGCAGTACACCAAAGTTCTAAAAGTTCTGCTTTCCACCACTGTGGTCAACACAGTAGCTGCCCGTGACGGTTACAGCGACACTAACGATGATCGATCACTCGCACAAATGTGCCAGCTTGAAATTTTAACTTTCACACTCAAAAAGAAATACAAAAAAAAAAAACGTCGCAAATACGACCATTTTGGTCACAGTCTGGAGCCCTGCTTTGTAAATGTGGTACTTTGTTATTTAAATAAAATAGCAAATCACTAAAAATAAATTAACACTGAATTGGACTGAACATGAGGAAACAGTGGTCCTGACATATGAGAATCTCCCCTCTTCTCTTTAATTCAGTTGGTTTGTTTGTTACACAGGTTAGCCTCGCATTACAATTTCGCTAGAATGCATTTACATTCATCATTTATAAAATATAAAATTACAGTATAAACACACTGGGTTTACAGTGTAGTAGGGTTGTGGCTGGTTAGCTAGAGCAGACTGAGCTTCCGGCCTGGTACAAATATACAAATACCAATATAATAATACCAGTGTTTCTACCAAAAAGCCTCATTTTCAGGCCAAAATAAATGTTAGTATTTGGCAAAATGAAATATCACTTATTTGAGGGCTTTAGCGCAAACAAATCATATCTCTCTCTATTGTCAAATTGTATTGGATGTTTTTTTTTTTTGAGTGAAATTATCCATTACATACTTTAGATTGAAATACTCCTATCTATTCCTATGTGACAACTGAACACACAGCTCCAATTGTTGGTGAAGACTGCAAGTTATTATAGATTGTTGTAGAGAAAGCAAAAACCAAGATAAATTGTTTAGCCAGAATATTAAATTAATGTTTTGGTAGAGTGCAAATTTTCTGTCCTTAGGCTAATCAGAAATACAATGTAAAGGCAAATTTTGAAAAAGATAGGCCATTTCACTGCCCTTCTTTCTGGTGAAGCAACAAATTTGGTTCGACTTTTACAAGTAAATGGAGAGAAGGAACCACCCACACCAACCACCAACTTGTTAACATCATCTTGATAACAGGTTATTAAAGGGGTACACCTTACAATTTCAAACCTTTTTTTTTTTTCATTCTGCTTGGGCTTTTAGTCCGAGACTAGTAGAAGAAAAGCTAAATATAAACACAACTAATGTTATCAAAGCTCCTAATGCTTTGCCAAAAGAACACGATTAAAGTCTTCAAGTACTTAATGCCCCTTTAAATATCCTATATTTTATATTTAATTAACAATATGAACTTACAAGCATTCAGAACAACAAGGGGAAATAAATAAAAATCTTTTGCTGTCTATTTTACAGAGCTCAAGTTCCTGACCACGGCTTTGATTTTACATTGTGTTTAAGAGCTGAAAAAAATGTGTGACATAATGCCCAGTCTGACCCTGGTATTCATTTGATAACAGTTTAAGTTGGGGTGCATCTGTCATACAAACACAAACTGGACATCCAACTGAGCATTGGAGGTGACAATGGGAGCCAGTAGATGGTGCTGATGAGAAATCATGTTGTAGATTCACCTTTCCAACATCACAGCTACAAAGAATGATTTCCCTTTCATGCCATTTTCCTTTAATGTTCTTCTATGAGCAGCTGGTTCTGCGGAGCACAATATTAAAGAAAAACAGTTATTATGAACATCATTGGTAGCACTATTAGTCATACGAGTGCTTTGTCAAAAAAATTCCAAATTACTGGTTTCAAACAGGTTACTTCAGCTCTCTTATTGGACTACTACTTTTCAGCAGTGCTTTCAGCTTTACAGCAGTGAACCCTCACAAAACGGCTTTGTCATATTTACATAGGGTACTAAACATCATATCATACAATTTAACAGAAAAATTGGAAAGGCATTCAAAAACAAAAATTCAAAGGAAGGGATTAGAAGACATCCTAAAATGCATACTGTTTCTGTGTACCCGTGTCAATTCAGCAGGAATAAGACAGAGAATTATATATGAATCCCACCTTACTGTCGGTGGTATTTTGGATAATGTCGTTGTCAGCATCTCCTTCCTCTGAGCCGCTCTTCTGGTCGTCATCTTTTCCATCCTTCTCCAGGTCATCCTCTCCAGACGAGATCCTCGACAGCTTTGAGGATTTCTGTCACAGACACACAAATCATAATGTGGACTAACTAATATCAGCAGCAGAGCTCATCCTTTTCCAGGAGACAAATCAAGAGTTTGTAACCAGTAATCATTCACATTGTTAAGCAATCTGAAACTGAAGTTAGAGTACCTGTATAGGTTAACATAATTTAACAATTCATGATGCCCATATCATTTAAAATGTTGTTTCACTACAATTTGAAACATATTATCTAAACCTGCTTTTAGTACTAATGTAATCAGCAGTTACTTGAAAGACTACTCCAGAGATTTAGCAATGCACTGGTATTACATTGACACTATTGTTGTGGACATGTTTAAAAATGATCAAAGTGAATGCAGCAGAACCAGAGACATTTTCTTTTACACATTCTTCCTTGTCGAAATCCATAGTCCACAATACCCATGGATCAAGCTTGCCTATTTCAAACTCTTCACTTATTACTTTTCAGCCAACCAACACTGATTCTACACAGCTCCTTTTGGAGATGCTTTTTCTCTACTTTTATTTAAATATAGTAAATGGTAAATGGTCTGCACTTACATAGCACCTTTCTACCTTAGTGGTACTCAAAGCGCTTTACAATGTGCTTCTCATTTACCCATTCAAACCCACATGCACACCAATGACAGAGCTGCCATGCAAGGTGCCTGCCTGCCATCGGGAGCACCTTGGGGTTCAGTGTCTTGCCCAGGGACACTTCGACATATGTAGGGGCCGGGGTTCAAACCACCAACCAGGGGACAACCCACTCTCCCACCTAAGCCACAGCTACCAACAGCAATAAGTGAAATTTTCCCTATAATACACAAAACACCACACTAGACCCTAACAGATAGTGGAGATTATACTCAATCTTTTAGTTGTTTGGCAGTAAGTTAATCTCCAGCCATCACTATTTAACTATAAAATAATCTTGACTAAGGTTAATTTGTTTCAGGGTAATAAGAACTTGATGACTGTATACACACTATCAGACTAGGGATCAAAACTAAACAACTAAAATGTCATCTTCCTCACCAGCTGATGATCCATGTAGAAGACATTGAAACAAAGAAATAGAACTTTTCTTGTAATGCAGGATAGAGCTAGTTAGGCCTTGTATTATAGCATAATATTAGCAAAAAATGTTTGACAAAGAAAGTAAGATCTGTTTGCTTTAATGTCTGTAATTTTAACAGATTTGTTGAAACAAATGCTATTTGATGTAACTAGTTTGGTTTCCCACACAGTCAATGTTCCAGTCTTAAGTGGACTTTATCCAAACAGCACATAACCTCACAAATCAGTATAATTGTGTTTGGTAGTAACAGTAGGCTGATACGGTGGACATAAAGTAGTTGACCTGGCATGCTTATAGTAGCAGCTTACATCACAGCAGACGTACTCACTGTTTAGTCTGTTCCTTACAATTGTGTTGCATTTTGTGAACTAAGTATCTCTTGTCTGGTGACTGACTGGACCTTTAACTATAAACAAAGTAGCAAGCACAGTGTCACAGTTATTCATTATGGCAGTAGTGTGAGCAATATCAGTACTATTAGTAGTACTAATAGCAATAATCATAGCAATCACATAACTCATTCACTAACAGCTTAGAAAGATCTAAATGTTTAGAGAGCTCCATGTTGAAATTAATTAATTTCACCACTTGCGTGTGTGTGTGTGTGTGTAGGTGTGTGTGTGTGTGTGTGTTAGGGGGTGTGGTCTAAAGGGGAGTGTGGGAAGGTTGCCCCTAACACGCCCACCCCCTCCACCATCCCATAGACACAGACAGCACATGTCATCTTTTCTCATATAAGATTCGAGTTATGTTGTGTAGCTCTTGTGTGTGCGCGCGCACACACTCACACACACACACACAATGTCAATGATGTGACAGATAGGACACACACACATCAACATTCTGCTCCCCAGCAACACCACATTCTTTCAGATACACCGCATGTGCCATGTGTAATGGACACCAGTTGCTAGGCAACTGTGGTTGCTAAGTGAGGAGCAGGATGCGTGTGACTTTTTCAACCTGCTTCCATTTCCAGCAACAGTGGCTTATACACTAATACAGTAACACACATTGACAGTGCTAGGCTCTGCAGCTCTCCATCTCTTCAAATCTTTTTGTTTCAGAATCAAGGAGAGGTCAAACAGAGAGGAACAACATAATAAATACAGTAAGATCATCAGGAACAGAAGCTGTTACAAGAAGCTAATGTTTAGAGGAATGAAATATGGTGAAATCCCACAAGTCTCGCTTAGCAGAAAAACGAACAAATCAGCAATGCTGTGCTCCTTAAAAAATCCTTAACTGGAGGCAGAAAAGCAATCGAACAAACTAACATAATGGGAAATATATGGATTTTTTAATATTACGATGCAAACCATTTGAAAACTGAAATGCAAAAAATGCAAAAAATGCAAACCACCAAATTGACTGAATGATTATTGTTGTTGTTGTGTGAAATATATGTTATATTGATTTTTTATTTTTATTTTTTTTAAAAGAGAGAAAGTGAGCTTTTACAAGATTGAATTTCCCTTCTGGGATAAATAAAGTATTTTTCATTTCATTTCATTTCATTTCATTTGCAGTTAATGACTGCCTTCAGTCTGGAACCAATAAACATCATAAAGTACAGCTGTGACTGTTAATCCGACACGAAATGTAAAACCTTCTTTTATGTCAGATAGCAAGGCTGTCGGATTATCAAGATGGAAGTTGAGATACAAGGAGGGCTTGATGCTTGAGGGGTCATGTGTTGTTAATATTTATTGTTTACAGCTGTTATTATAAACTATCTACTTATACGATATTGTTATGATTTATATGAAACACAATAAAAGACTCGTCATGAACTACATCGGTGGCTCCATGCCAGTGCACGACTTGGTCTGTGACTTCTTGAAAACTTGGTAGATGCAAATTTATGTGTGATGTCTGGCGTGTAACAGCATCGAAGCAATTTGTTTCGATGATTGATAAGCCTGATACAACCGCAGTGTTTATAGGTTCATAGAATTGTTCAGGTGTCAAAACGTGTCACATTGTTTAATACTTCAAAGAACTTCAAAGCACCAAACCTATCCTTCCTGTGTTCCAAACATGTAGAGTTGTTTGCTAACAAACTGATGCAAACTGATTTAATCAACTGGGCAAACTCACTCAATGAGTGGGACTAGTGTATTGGTAGAACACTACGCATCACTGGATTTCATACCTAACTGACCGCTGCGCTTGTGCACGGGCTCGTCGGTTGCCATCAAAGGTAAGCAAATCTGTCGGATTGTTAACTCCGGTAATACGCCGTTATCCTTATTTGTGACATAAAATGTCATGTCGGAGTCGGAATCCAAGGCTGTCGGTATGTTAAGGCTATTTTGTATGGGTTCCGTTCAGTTTTCCTAAAAACCTCTCGGATAGCAAGGTTTTCGGATTGTTAAGGGTCAGAATGCCAAGGCACGACTGTATTAACTTTCCTTGAGATGCTCCTCTAGGTCTTCTACGGTCACCTTCAGGTGCTGCTTGTTTGTGGGTCTTTGTGCCCTCAGCTTTGTCTTCAGTAAGTGAACAGAATCTCAGTTGCATTGAGATCAAGTGACTCGGTCATTTAGGAACATTTCATGTCTTTGCCTTAAGAAGCACTTGAGATACCTTCATGGTATGTTTGGGTCATTTTACATCAGTACTGTGAAACATCATCCTGACACTTTTGTAAAATTGGACTGAATCTGAGCAGAAGAAAAAGTTATGCACATTTCACAATAGATTCTGTGATTTCTTTCAGCAGTCACATCAGCAATTATCACCAGCCATAGATGCCCATAACACAAAACTCCACCATGTTTGAGAGACAACGTGGTCTGTCATAAGAATCTTGTTCCAGAGGTGGGAAGGCTGTTGTACATTTTTATTAGCT